CTCAGATGATGGCATTACAAATGACTTGGCGTTCAGTTAAAGCAGTTTGGCTGTACATGCAATCGCTTGTAAGTTGTCTATATCTTGTGTGTATTTTAAGTTTTCTCAAAATATTGGGATGCATTTCTGCCACAGGCTTATACATATTTGTGAGCCGTGCACACAAAGGGTCCTGGGATTTTATCAGCATAACGATGCCTACTTAGCCGAAGGACTTTGCCTCGCGCTGGCACGCATATGTGACTCGCGATTAGCACGCCTCGCTGCTCCGCGGAAAATGTAGAAATGTGTAATGGATGCATAGCTGCATGTATTTTCACAAGTTTGGACATTCAAGTAACGATTTAATAATGTGTAGAATATTCTGAAACACATCTAAACTCATTCGCTCAGCATTGGAGATGTTTCAAAATATCTCGGTTTTGCTTAATGGTGGAGGGCAGCAAAGCAAATCCTGATTATGGCAATCCCAGCAGTGTGCGCAGGTGTGCCGACATATATTCCACATTCTGGCCAATGAACAGAAATCATCAGGAAATTTGACAGTTGCACATCTGAAATTTCGGATGGCTACATAGACTTACGGAGTGTTTCTCAACTCCAGTCGTCGCAGCCCCCCACAGTACAGTTTACCTATGATTACTGACCATGCAGTGTGTAGTGTAATCATTTGTTCACGATTAGAAAAGACTGGTTATTGTGAAAAGGTGGACTAAATCGGGGTTGCAACGGCTGGACTTGAGAAGAACTGGCCGAGAGGTTAGCGTTATTGCCACCGGGATTATTTGCTTTAAGTCCGTGCTTTGATCCCTGCAGCGCCTGAGTAATTTGTTTAGGGAAATGCCAAAGCTTGCTATCTGCTAGAAGTGAACATATACAACCTTGCAGTGACATCGTCTCATCATGTACACAAAATTGGCCACTCATTTCTGGTGTTTCAACCAAAATTAAACATTTGAAAACTCATCATTTACTAGCTATCAACTGCTGGATGAAGGCCTCTGCACCATCGCCATTCCCGCAAAGTCAAGTGCCACTACCATTCGTCTCACTCCTAAACATGATCTGACCACATCGCTCTGCTTTGGCAGTGGTCATCCGTTTGGATGCGCTCTTCCCTTTGGCTGCCATTCTGTCGCCAACCTTGTTCATCGGCCATCATTTCCGGCTAGTTGTGTGTCCTTTCCAAGCACGTTTACTTTTCTAAGGGTCAATAAGATGTTTCAGATATGTTTGTTCCCTGACTGTGTGTTCCTTTTCCTGTCTCGGTATAAGTCCATTCATGCATCTTTCCACTTTTTTGCGCACTTTTCAGCTTTTGTTAATTTTTATTTGTCATTATTCATGATTCTAATACATGTCACAGTTGCCAGTATGCACCGAGTGAACTTTCTTCTTGCAAAGGCACTATTATACCCTCCTCTCTTGTTCTCCTTAATTGTTATTTTGATACTAATCCACGGTCAATTATTGCAAACTTGTAAATTACTTAAATTTTTGCTAATTTATCAAGTCCAGCTTTGCAGCTGCCTTCGTTAAGTTCTTAAATAATTTATTTAGATTCATTTTAATCTGGCTTATCTTGAATGGCTGAAAGTTTAATTTCTCCAATCTAATTTTGACTCGGATATTTTCCGAAAGACGAACGAAGGTTTGAAACATATCCGAGTCTAAAATGTCACATTCACTTTATCAGTATAATGCACTTTGCCACATTTTACAAAACACTTAATATCAATAGTGTCTTGTCTGGCTAAAATATATTACGTGAATATATATATACCCATTTCCCTCCCAAGTGACCCATTGTCATTTGGGTTTTGCAATTTTAATAACGTTGGCCATTTATGTAGAACGTGCTTTATTTGTGTTGTATATTCTTAACTGAGAACCTTTCACGAGGCTTCTGGTACTCCCCTGTAGTGTTTCAAGTAATACAAAAATAATATTGGAGGGAATAAATCATCGTGGACGAGAACCCTCCGGGGAATTGTATGCTCACGTAATGATCTGGAATAGCGGATGTGTAATTTTTCAAGCGTTTTTCAGTATGTCCTTTATTATTTATTTATGGTTTAAATAAGCAAAAAGCTTCTCCATACATAGGCTTGCTGAAATTACGTTAGACAAGTCAGCCTAAAAATGTGTGTTTTTATTACTATAATTGTTTCATTCATATAGGTGTGGTAGGTAAAGAAGCAACTCATTTCGCCATACATGCTAGCGTGCCGACGCATGTATACATTTTATTATTTGATGGAACGATTCTGAATGCATGCATAGTAGCTGCAGGCTGTCTGCCTGTGCGTTGTGCCTGTGCGTCCACGTCACAGCTGATTTAGTGAATTTCATTACCTCCATGTCATCTCATCTACAGTTATGCTCGTTGTATTGTCCAGGGTATCTCTTAAAGCTGCTCTGTGCCAGCGACAAATACATTAACGACTTTGTGGTCAATTTTGTCTGCCATAAGACCGTTTTTACACTACCAATGCGCTTTGGTTTAAACATCCATCTTGCGGCTGTACATTGCTGAATAATGTATTGGTAACCTTTCAGTTGTTCATCGATTAAGCACTGATTTATAGTGTTCGTGGCATAGAAAGAAATGCATTAGTTACCATCTGCAAAATGTTTGACCTGAGAAAGTTTTCTAAACTGAGAGATCAGCCATATTTAATTGGGAAGGCACTGACTTTCTGAAATGCAATCGTTACATAATTGAAGGCTTGTGCTTCCCGATGTGCCAAACACATTGCTTGGAACTATTCCTGAAGCATTGTCTTTAATTTAAATAAGCTGTTCTTGAGGGCTCTGAACATGCACGAGACCTTCCTGCAGTGCTCGTTGAAGTCGTGTTCAAAGAGTGATGTGAGCGAAGGCACCATTATGCACGCTTTTGACTCAGGTGAATGCGGATGACAAGCAAGCCTATAGCTGGCCACGAGCTCATCATAAAGTGCCACAACCGATCTGGACACATTTTTGTTGTAGATTGCTGCAAGGACATCCGTCTCGACGTGGTGGCAATTTTTTGTTTTGTTTGACAATAAGTGGACCTTAGCCTTTATGCATTGCAAAGGGCCTCTTGGGCCAGACAGATTTATTTGAGTTGGAAATGCCATCAGACCATTTATCAGTATGACTGGCAAAGCGCTTTGCATTGATGTGCTCATTAAACTTTAAACTGCGACAGCGTGGCACACAAAATTACTTTTAGAGTGAACCCGTGCTGCCTCGGGAAAGTGTACGCAGTTTACGAATGTTGGAAGTTTCCGAAGGCCGTGAATAATTGCTCATACATTCATGCACGCGCTCTTAATGCAACACATGGTAACCCATTGATGCAACACATATAATTTCTAAAAATAAATGTGTAATGACTTGCCCAACTATGACTAAATAACCCACAAAGTATCTGATCTTATAAGATCTAAGAAGCGGAGTAGAGTTGAGCCTGTATAGTGCTTGAACAGGTGACTATCGTTCACAAACAGTTTGTTGTAGGGCTTGCAAGGGCTATTTAGAGAGCAGTGTAGGGAAGTGCATCAGAATCCAATTTTGTCCTGTGCTTTTATGCTCCCACTTTCACGAATTTCACTGATCAACATGGTGAAATGTATAAGCCTCACAGACGTGGGACGGCCTTCATCCAGCAGCGGATTGACAAGAGCTGGCCGTGGACAATGATTCACCCTTCCCCCATCCCTTCCTCGCCCCAGTGATTTGATGAATTTTCACGATTTATTGTTAATAAATTCTCATCGTTTATTTTTTATTTAGTTTCGATGTCAGGATCTCATTTGTATTATTTCTCGTTCTTTTTCTCATTTGTACTGTTTTGTGCCCACCATTATTAGCCTAAATGTAGCCACAACATATAATGTACATGCATTTTAACTAAAGATTCAATGTCTATATTGTGAACACATGTACCACTTTTAATTGATTCGATGCATGGTTATTCGCCCAGTAATGTACGTAAGCAATTGGTGGGAATACATAAACACACTCCCCTCAATGCACTGCTATTAAACTTTGTAAATACATAATTTCAGGTGGGAAGACATGAAGGAAGTAAGGGAAAAGACAATGTCCCTATGGAGTACTCCATATTTGTACGTGCCATTACCACGTGACTGCACTTTTAAACAGACTTATGTAACTGCTAAAGGCAAATTGATCTAGTGATCAAAGCACATACAAATCAAGGGAAAAAACTTGGCTTGAATCCTTAGAAATCCCTGTTGAAATACTCATCCACTTTATAAATATTACAAAACATTACTTATGCCTGCTTATATGCAAAACCATGAAGGGAATAAAAAGAAAATGTGGAAATATTTTTGACAAGATTTTTAAAAATAACATGATCTTTAATATATAATATTTGCTAGATTTTTTTCCAAAATGTTATTCCTTGACATTTTCATTAATTTAATTTCCTTTATTCCAACTTAGGTCAACGATGACCATTGTGGGGGTACAGGCCCACACACCGTCTTAACAGTGCTCAAATCATCAGCTCTACATGTCCCCTCTAATATATGACACTGAAGCAGACGAGGCACTGTTTGCGCTTCACTGCAGATTAAGTCTGTGTTCTGGGGCTGTTCAACCTACATCGTCTGTAGTTAAGAATAATAATAATAACGATTTACAGGACTTTAGTCAATCTACTGCTGGATGTAGACCTCCCCCACAGTGAACCTCACCCTGGTTAGTGCAAGTTGAATCGACAGGCGTGCCCCGTACTGGTTCAGATTATCGCTCGCCACTGATGTTAACCATGGCCGGGAATCAAATTGCTTGTTGGGCTTGATTCCTCAATGTGCTAACCACTGGTCCACCGCAGTTTTTCACTGCCAAAAATCAGTATGCTGAACACACGTCTCTTTAGAATTTTTGCATCTGATATCCTGAAGTATTTTTTTTCTTTTAATCACAATATTCTTGTCTATAACGTTTGACTATAAGTGCTTTTTCTGTCTTTCTTGCAGTACGTCTCCATGAAAGCATAGCAGAGGAAGGCTTCCATTACCTGGTCTTTGATCTGTAAGTATACTTTTGCTGATTTCTTATAAGCATTTGCTGAGCTGTAGCCACCTTCACACATAGATGGTGTAACCAAGTTAAAGTTCAGATATTCAAGCACTAGCTGAACACCCCCACGATGCATCAATGAATGAAAAACTAGCTTGGCGCAGGTTATTTTATGCTTACCTACCAATGCCACCTTTCTTTTTGAGTTGAAGTGCTCTTTCGAATAGCATCTGCCAACCCAGCACCATGTGTCTAACAAGCTGATTCGACTGATGCACCCTAGAATTTACTTCCTTAAACAATGCTACTGGATAATACTGGTCTAGAAAGCGAACTGGCTGCTGGACTAAATATATTTTGTTTAAATCTGGAGACACAGAATGGAATGGTGCTTTTTATGTCTTAGTTCACTTCAGTTAAGTGTTCCTTGCATTACTCAGAGGATTGCAAACGCAATGGTTGAACTCGCACAAATACATAATTTTTATGGTAATTTTATGAAGCCAGAGGATTGTCACAAACGCATTCCTATACTGCCATAACCCTAACTCAAAGTCAGATTCTCAAACTCGCTTGCTACACTGTTGCATCATAAATGGTAAAAGTATCCATTTTACATAGTCTTTTAATGCTAAGATCACTTACGGACTGTAAAAAAAATTTGTGAAGGCACAAAAAGTAGGACGTGAAAGGTTGTAACTCTGGGCCAGTATTGACATTTATGTTTTAAGACTGGGGAAGTTGTGTTTAACTACATTTTTCCTGTTGCATTGATGTTTATTGGATATAAAAGGTCAGTCGAGGCAGGGGTCTTTGCATGACACTGCTTTAATGTAACATGGCAGAACTTAAATGTAGAAACCAGTGTCGCACAACCAGTCTCATTACTCCTATTTTCACAAGTGCTAAACCTGCAGATATATAATGTCAATATTATAATGATGTAGTTTTATGGAGCATCGTTGATGCAAATTGCATCTCACCGACCACTGTCAAGCAGGAAAGGAAATCGGATGGTGAGCTAGCACCAATAAGTGTTCAAGCTCTGCAGTCCTCTATATATTAAGATGTTTTTAGCCAAATAATTAGTTTTATACATGTGGAAGAAACCCGGATTACCCAGAAAAAACCCCACATTCGAGGGGGCAGCACGATACAATACAGAATCGGTGAGGATAAATCAACATTTGCTGTACTGCATCCTCCTGACAAGCCAGGCATTTCACCTTCACTCCCATGGGAATAGTTCCACAGCATTTTGTGATCCACTAACCCCCCTCGCCTTCACTAGATTATAGGCGTGCGCCATCGCTGAGAGAGCGTCTTGTCTCCTTTAAGATGGACATGAATGGTTCTAGCCCAAATCTTGTTTTTTATTGTCTTCAGTTTTATAACCTTCAATATGCATCTCGCCGCAGTGGTGATGTTATGACCCTCACCTGGTGTGAAGTAGGTTGTTTAAACAATTTTAAATATATATTTTACCAGCTAAGACCCACTGAGCTATATAGCTCTTTTTGAGAAGTGACCTGGTCACAAATGGTAACTCAAATAAGTGGCTTATCATGTGGAAATTTCTAGCAGCCAAATATTCTCAACACATGCTTATTAATATGGAAAGAAAACCCGGAGGACCCGGATAAAAATCAACGGGACCACGGAGAGAACATGCAACTCCAGATATGCAGGCTTCAGGGTCGGGATCTAACCCACGACTACCTGCATACCAGACGAGGGAGATAACATCTTGTGTTGTGGGTGCCATCTCCACCCGGACTCCTGTATATTTGGAGTATGCATGTTCTCTCTTCCTGTGGGTTTGTGGCTTTTGCTCCGGGTCCAGAGGTTTTACCCTCTGCATTTATAAACATACGATTAAATGATTTAGCTTCTGTAAATTCCCACATGATAAGCCACTTAGACGAGCGATCATATGTGGCCAGGTCACCCTGTAAAAGAGCTAACAGCTTAGTGGGCTTTACCTGGCAAATAAATTAGTAAATAAAAAAACATTTACTGGCATGATTACATTTGTAGGCATTCCACCTTGTAAAGAAGATTGATTGTCATTGACCTCCGGTCTAAAAAGAACAATTAAGTTAATGTAAAATATTGTTAATCAACTATGTGAAATGTGTTCCATAATGTCACACAGATGAAATGATACCTTTCCGAATAAAAGTCTTAGTCTTATATCGTCAGAAGATGTAAGGCTTACTATACTTCTTTAAAAAGGTTCTTGTACAAAAATAGTTTTTGGTGTAAAGTCCCACATTTTTGTGAGTGTAATCCCCTTAAACTTTTGAAAGCACAAATTTGTATAAATAAAGAGCAAGGACATCAGTATTCAGTGGTTGCAGATCATTAACCATTGGCAACACAGATGTAACCTTCATGAGTCGCATCACTGACAGACTCTTTAGGAATTCCAGTCTTGTACAAAAGTACAACTCAAAAAGTTTGTCCGTTTTGAGCTTCAGAGTATTGCTTGTACTGGTCGGAATTATTTTATTTTACAAAGGTCATTATAGTGGAATCCAAAGTGGACTCTCAATGTGGCAAACAAAACAAGGTCATAGGTTTAGAATTGTAAGCAATCTATGTTTGAGTGACTAGTTGTAGCGTGAACTAGTTGATCTCAAACTTAGATTCAGACTCCATGGAGAGATGATAATTTCTGCCAGGGTTTTTTAAGCATGGGCGGCACATGCTTATTTCTGTCAGCAGGTTGCTTTGACCTCCAGTCGCTTCCAGTCACCACACTTGCCCTGGGTTGAGAGACCCATGCCACTGCGGTGCTTGTTTAGAAAGCGGGTACCCAGAGTGCTCTTTATCTTAAATCCCATGACCCCTTGTCCATGAAGTTGTGGGGCGGCGCTTTACCACCTCCTCTGCCACTGAGAGTAATGCTTGTCACATCACAATCAAACCAATATCTTTGTTTTAAATTTCAGAGCTGGAATTTAGAAAAATAAACTGTAGAACTAAACTGAATGTTTAACACGTAGGCTTTCGCGACCAATATCATCCATAATAGAGGTTTTTGGGTTAGATCGCGTAAATATATAAATGTGTCGTTAAAACCCGCCACCACCAACTAGTAAGGATTGTCACGTAAACAGAACGTGCCAATTCGTCACTAGTACAGCACGCCAGTGTGTTGGAGAGCCAAGCCACAACATTTACAAACGGAGTACGACGTTTCGCCAGTAATTGATGAAGCTAGTTGTAATTACTGGCGAAACGTCGTACTCAGTTTGTAAATGGTGTGGCTTGGCTCTCCAACACACCAGTGTGCTGTACTAGTGACGAATTGGCCACGTTCTGTTTACGTGACAACCCTGACTAGTTGGCTGTGTCGGGTAGTGGCAGGTTTTAACGACACGTTTATATATTTACAGGATCTAACCCAAAAACCTTTATTATGGATAAACTTAACGTGTTCGATGTTATGTGCGGTCACTTGAGAATCCAGCTTAATTAAAGCTGGGCAGCCTGGATTCAAACCCAGGACCTCAAGAGTTGTGCCAGCTTAGCACTCTAACCTCTCAGCCACCTGGCCACTTGTAACAATCAAATATTTTAAATATCCAAGTTGCCACCCATCAACAAACCCACGAGTGCCACCTTGGATAGGTGGCTGGATCCTTTTCTTTCTCAGCACACTGCACTAGAGAGGGCTGCACACAATACCCAACTGTGGTTGGCCCATCCAGAGTACAAGAGACATCAGATTTGTATGGCCTTGTTCTGCATTGAAAGACAACTTGGGAATGTGGCAAAATTTCTCTCTGCTTGTGGGTGGTAGGGCCCACAGCTAGAAGATTTCAAACCCCTGGTGTGTAGACAACAGAGACAGATTTGCTTTTAGACTCAATAACATCAACAAGAGCGACAACTGTGACTAATGTGCTTACGAACCAGCTATAAAGATTTCGATTTAAAGCTTTCATGACTGCAGGGATTCATCTTCTTGGTTCTTTCGGTAAAGTCACGTAGAAGGGAAATAATAAAATAATAAAAATAAAACATAATAAAATAATTCTCACGACGTTTCGGCTACAACGCAAGCAGCCGTCCTCAGGTGAAGAATGAGGACTGCTGCTTGCGTTGTAGCCGAAACGTCGTGAGAATTATTTTATTATGTTTTATTTTTATTATTTTATTATTTCCCTTCTACGCAGCTATAAAAAAAGTTAGATAGTTCAAGTCCTTTCATCAAATATTTGTTTTTCAACTTGATACCATATGTCCATTAAAAAAATACCCCTAGCTTTGTGTATGTAGCCTAGTTGGTTAGCATTTACAAAAGTTGGAAGCCACGTTTGATTTGCATCAACAGAATGACCTTGACACACTTTTCTTGACACTGCGAAAACACCTGCTCTTTTATTTGAGTACACGGCACGTGTTTTTGTCCGTATGCACGTACGCGCGCGTGTGTGTTTGACGACCGATGCATTGTGCCATTCAGTGCGGTAGGCCACGGGTGCTTGCGGTAGAGACCCCGAACGAACGCGCACGCTAATGCGTCTAAGTGTTGTAATGGTTACTAATGGGCAGCAGCGGATCCGTCAAACAAAAATCTCCAAATCTCTGGCAGTTGCAGAATCTCCATCCCTCCCACCCACCCACTCTTTCAGCCCATGTGACCTAGCTTACAAAGCCACCTCCTGGTGTAATCTGTATTCACAGCAGCCTTCTCTGCTGCAGTCTCTCATCGATTTTCGCAGTGACTTTTTTTGCATGCTGCACGGCAATTTATATCCCTCCGTATAGAAATCCTTTTTGGTCTTGTTTCCTCGTGATTTTAAATAATAATAATCTTCTTCCTCTTTCCAGTCTCTTGACATGACAAGTTGTAAATCTGGATTTTTCCTTAAAAGGTATAACCAGCATGAAAATTTATGAATTGGAAGTGTTGGATCAGAAATCAGTCTGCCTTAGCGTGTCTGCCCCAAAAACAAACTGTATTGTCTAAGCAACCAATATACCTAAATATATTGCAGGTAGTGATGCACTGCATACTTAATTGTGCAGGGTATTGAAAAAACTACTCCCATTTTAGATTTTAATAAATAAACTCCATCATTGTACTTTGCAGATCCATGAATTAAAACACTTTGCCATGTTGCTCTGTTACCAGAAGCCAAAAAAAACAATCTTGGGCGATGAGCTCATATCTCTAGTAATTTACGTGACGCAGATGGGCAAGAGGAAAATTTCAGGGGTGAATGTCCAGATGCACAGAAAGCGGTGTGTGTGCAATGTCTGCTTCACTGCTCTGCTGATTGTGTCTGACATGAACCCCCGCAGACTCGACCTTCCATCTCATCCCTTCCGCTCGCCTCCTCTAAGCAGTCACAGTAACCTGCTCCGAAGCTAAATATAGCCGAGCCACATGGGGATCCAAAACCGTCCACCAAGTGATTCAATTGTCATAGGGTGAAAGATAAATCTCATAATGTTGCCAATGTGAACACCTAGAGGGAAAAAACCCACAAGGAACTGTCATTGAACTAAATCCTTTTTGTAGTATCAATAGGTGTATAACCCACAACCATTTTCGATTGGGCGCCTAACGCTTTAGCGGAGCTTTCTTCCAAAATGCGGGTTTGCTGATGTAACTATATGTTTTGTCTTCGTGCGCAATGGCTCCACTTTGTTCCCTGCCTCGAAGCTATTTGTGAATAACACTGCTTTGCGGTGTAAGGATGCGTGTGATCAGTCACGGGCTCGCTTCAAAGTGAGATGCCGTTTGCCTTTGCTGGGTACATTCATGTAGCAGGCCAGAAGGCATAGTTGTATTTCCTGCCCCTCCCCCTGCCCTCGCAGCCTTCATCACATTCCTTCCTCGGTCTTTTACCCCCACCCTGTGGCCATCGCCCTGCAAAGAGCGAGAGCCACGGCTACGGAGAGCCAGCTGTAATGTGCGGTCAGTGACACCTCGTTTCCGAATGCCACGTGACGCTAAATGTCGCACCTCTTTGTGGACGTTCACAGGGTAACAGGAGGAGAGCTGTTTGAAGACATTGTAGCCAGAGAGTATTACAGTGAGGCTGATGCCAGGTGAGAATATAATAAAAACAACAATAAACATCTTTATAACGTTGATCATATCTTTTTTTTTGGTGGGGGGGCGTTTACACGATACGTAATCCATACGATACATAATCTACACAATGCCGATGACCAAATCACCTGGAATGTGTCCAGTCTGGCCAAATCTCAGAAGCTAAGCCAGGTCGAGCCTGGATAGCGCATGGATGGATGGTCATCGTGCATAAAGCAGAGATGCTGTAGGCTGCTGTGGCGCTGTTTCAGGCAGCAGAGGGTGGAGGTGTAAATGTACCTGTTATATATACTGCATATTGTCTTTAAAACAAGACAAAACTAAAATACAGAGCAGCGTGCCACATTTGCAGGTGATATTAATTACAAATATTTGTTCAAAGAATGAATTCCTAAGCTCACAACCCTCTGCCTTTCCAGCCACTGCATCCAGCAGATTTTGGAAAGTGTTCACCATTGCCATCAGCATGGCATCGTGCATCGTGACCTCAAGGTATGAATGTTTTATTATTTTAATCCGAGTGACTCGGTGATATCCCTCTGAAGCTGCACATATGCCACCAAGTTTTGTAATTCACCGTCAGAGCTCTGGTTGTTCGTGTGTTTCCTGCTCCACTGCGTTCACTTTTTTATTTGTTAAAGCTTGCACACAACGGGAGGCACCATGTGCCCTAATACCGAGCTTAACCCTGGTAATCCTGCAAAGTGTTTTTTTTGTGTTCACGGAAGCCTGAGAACCTGTTGCTAGCAAGCAAGATGAAGGGAGCTGCTGTGAAGCTGGCGGATTTTGGACTCGCCATTGAGGTGCAGGGTGATCAGCAGGCTTGGTTTGGTAAGTGGAGTGTTGCAGGAGCAAAGATAGAACCTCACAGTAATTTTTTCCCATCCTTTATTCATTGGTGTGCTCATGTGGATAGCAAAATTTAAGCTGTACACTTTTCTAGCTCAATTTTTTGTTAATGGAAAATCTGATATGCATGTGCAAATAAGCTAGAATGTGTTCGATCTAATCAGATCTCAGAAGCTAAGTTGGATTGATAGTGCTTGAATTGGCAACCACCATGCATGCCAGGTTATCATAGGCAGCTGTAGGGCTGCGTGGTGGACAGCAGAGGGTAATGCAGCAGAATACATTCTTGTACTTTGCTTTAGATTCTCTAAAGTCTATGCTCCCTGTTGTTTTTTGTTGTCGTTGCCAAGTGTCCACAGCTATGGGACACTGGCAACAACTTGCCAAAACAGTGTTTAGCAAGGTGTACAAAGCCTCCTTTTCACTAAAATTCTCTGACGAGTATGATCAAGTACAATCGAACAATCCCCCCCCAACCTACACGGTTTGAGGAGGCCATTATCCAAGCAGTAGATTTATTTCAAAAGTGCTGTAAGCGTACGTAATAGTTACAGGTATATAATGACCATTCGCAGAATATGATCACTGAACCACCTGTAATTTAAAGTGACCTCACATTTAATACAAATTTCCTTCACCTTTTTTGACAGGTTTTGCTGGCACTCCAGGGTATCTTTCCCCTGAGGTTCTCAGGAAGGATCCTTATGGAAAACCAGTGGACATGTGGGCTTGCGGTAAGGCTGATGAATCTAGCCATCATCCTAGCTTGTTGCGTTATTGCTTCCTTGCACATGCTTACCTGTTTGATTTATGAGACCTTGACTAACATGCACTGTAAATTTTTCTTGAATCCTCTGTCATTGTTAACTAATTTGTTATTTTTTTTTGATGTTCACTGATAATTATTATTTCGCAACACTTTTCAGGTGTGATTCTTTATATCCTACTGGTGGGGTACCCACCTTTCTGGGATGAGGATCAGCACAAACTTTACCAGCAAATCAAAGCTGGAGCATATGATGTATGTAGCTGAGCACTCGTACACTCGCAAAATATGTTATTTCACGTATGCTTCCTGAAATTTTGTCGACCACCAAATGATTTATCTATTTAAAATGACACAATTATTTAACCGAATCTCATCATTTGCCACCAGCGTTCTTAAATATATTTACATCTACTGTAGATGATGCCCACTCTAATCCACACTCATTCAGACCAGCCCACTGGGTATTATGTGGCTTTTTCTCTAAAAATGAAAAATCTGAATTAAGCAGATTGCATTGGGTACTTACGGCATTTCATGGTGAAATCTATATAAGCGTTCTATGGGGAGTGAATGCAGCTCAAAAAAGACTGGAGAAACACATGGTTAACTTTACAGTCCCATAGAAACCACTGTGTGTGTATGTGATGTGAGGAATTTTTCAATCAGGAAAGATAATTTTCATGAATCTGTAACTTATTTCAGTGTGAGTTTTGTTGAAGATTCCCCTATTTTGTAGCTCCTTTGTCAGTCCTCTGCTGAATGAAGGCTTCCCAATGTCAAAACAGTTATTTAGGTTTGTTTGACCATACTTCACCATACTGATAAGTAAGGGTTAGAGAAGTGGGAACCCCTAAACTGATTTATGTATCACCTTGTTTCTGATGGTAGCTATGGCTGGGAACTCTGGTGGCTAGGTTCATCGTGTCATGCACTAACTGCTGTGCCACTGCGCCACCCGATATGATCCTGATTCTTACGTGTAACAATTCTCTAGGGTTTCCTACAACATGAGACACGTATTACGTGATCAAAGATGCTGGTGCCATTTTACAAAAGCGCATTCAAAAATAAGCAAATTGTTATATTTTTAGTCCATCAAGGGTGTTAAGACAATTAAGTGGCAGCGTGATGACTGCATGAACTGTGGCATTGCTTACAAGTCGATGTAACAACTGCATTCAGAATGTGAGCATATTTCTTATGATGACGGTCTCGCCGGTTGATGCGTCAACATCAGTCAGGGTTTTGCTTGTTGGGAGGTTGATATCTGAAGTCTTGTGATTTTTCAGAAATGCCTGTGGACTGTTGAGGAAGGGAGTGCTGCTTCCCAATATATCACACTCTGCCTTTGCAAAGATGGAATTGTTGGGAAAGCATGGATGGAATGATCCGGAGCATTATTGTATACGCAGCCCAGAACTTATTGCCATCTGCAATCCATATGCTGGGGCCTCTGACAAAGCCCGACATGCGAAAGTTGTTTGACAGTGACAGGGTTTTAAAAGCTGTTGGTGCAGTCATGGTTTAAGGGACAAGATTAATTACTTCAACGCTGTGCTGGTATTAGGAATGGTGTCAGCTGCTGGAACAAGGGCATTTTAGTAAAGAGTGGCTGCAGAAATATTGTGGCATAATGATTATAAGAAACATTCAACGTAACATGTTTGTCGACTTGCTTATTGAAACACCATAGTTTATTCTTGAAGTGGAGCAAAAGTCTGCTATGGTAATTAAAGATTTTGCTTCAAGTTGGTTTTCCCTTTTATATGTAAATTTCCCTTTGCACAATTTTATAGTTTAAACTAAGCTGTTGATTGGGAGCAAAATGTAAATGATTGTTGCATCATTTCGATGTATTTTCTAACAAACCTTATTTGCCTTTCAAGTTTCCATCACCGGAGTGGGATACCGTGACTGCAGAAGCAAAAAATCTCATTAACCAAATGCTGACTATCAACCCGGCCAAGCGTATCACCGCTGCAGAGGCACTCAAACATCCCTGGATCTGCGTAAGATCATTTGACTTGCTTATCAGTCCATCTGATGCCATGTCTAAATTAGTCATGTACCAAGAAAGGGATTGGAACAGAATGTAATTTCCATGTGAGCATTCTGTGTGTATATGCTATATTTTTTGTGAAGCAAAGTGCCCTTCTTCTGATGTTGCTTTGCAATGGAACATGCTATGGAATAGATTTTTGGTATGCAGGCCACAAGTTTACAATTGTTCAGGTATCAGCTTTTATTGCCAAAATCACAGTGTATTTGGAGATGTTGAACACATCTGATCCCAACACTTGATATTCATTTTTAAGTATGAAAATTTGTATTTTATGTAGAAGGGTTTTCTTTCAAAATCTTAGATCTCATTAAAAAAACCCCACAGACATGGCATCTCGATTGGCCATCACAATAATGCAAAGTGTGACCAAAATCTTTCCCCATACAATTATGACTTTGCAATCATTCTTTTTTTTCTATTTCAGCAACGCTCCACCGTGGCATCTTGCATGCACAGGCAGGAGACTGTGGAGTGCTTGAGGAAGTTCAACGCCAGAAGAAAACTCAAGGTGCGTTTTGAGTAATGTCCTCCGAAGGTGCACACACGAGAGCTGGAGTATTATGTCACCAAAGACTATAAACATTTATTCTCATGCCAATTTGATTAACAATCTATATGACTGTTTTTTTTCGCACAGGGTGCTATCCTCACGACAATGCTGGCCACAAGAAACTTTTCAGGTCGGTATCCTCGGCGTAATCTCTGCCCCTTTGTGCCCCGTGACGAGCAAGCGTTTGGTACCAAATGTCCTTTTCATGCTGCTTGAATGTGCCTATTTCGTCTCTGTTGGTTTCAAAATTGTTTATGCTCAAGCTTGCTACACCTGTCAGGTTAAAATTCGTAACCTATATGCGCTATTAAACCTAAATGTGTTTGCTTACAATTTATATGGACTACATGTAACTCCCATGTTATAGTGGATCTATTTGCACCTCACGAGGTTGAATAAATGAAGTGAGCATCTGTCTGCAAATTATTTATATCCACTGAGAGATGCGATACATTGATGAGACTGGGCTACAGTGACTGCCTGACGTCAGTATAACGCCTTAATCTTTAAAGTAAATATCTTTTTACAATTCTGCTGACTCATCACACGGATGAAAATGGGGGGGGGGGGGAGAATACAAAACAATGTAAATAAATTATACTAGGAATCATATTACTCAAATAACCATGAGGATGTTCTACTTTCTGCTGCATGTTTAAAAAAAATACTCTCACATCAGTGGCAATAATACAATTCTAAGTAATTATTTTAGCTGTTCAGTGAATATAGTTTAATTCTGCTCTTTTTTCTTGGAACGTATTCCCAATGTAAACAAATGCTGATCTATAATTGTATTCAGTTGCTGTTGATTGGCGTAGTATGTTCGGATCCAGATAGCAATTTAATGGCACGTTTTTTTCTTAATTTGCACAATTGTGTTCGTGTTGGATTTGAAGGTTGAGCTCTTTTAAAGCACTCTTGACTCCCAGCAATATTCAAAGCTTGATTGCCCCGTGAAGTGTTAACCTCCTTGCTTAGGGGTAGTATAGGGAAACACCTTCATTGAACACTTCATGAGAGCACACAGAAGGGTATTTCAAGATGAGACATTGATGTTTTCCTTTTGCATTGTGTGCTCAATCATTTAAGGACTATATGCATTTCCATTATATAATAGTTTTGTAGGTATTATGGCCTCTACGTTTAAAACACTAAATTAATATAATAACCATGGCCACTGAATAATGGCATATTGCATGCCACAAGGACATTAAAACAAGCGAGTCGATTGCAATGCACGAAAAGGAAAGCAGTAATGAACAAAAAGTGACCTCAAATGTTAACTCTGTACACATGTTAGAATTAATTATTTTGTCGTTTTATTGCCTCCCCCCCCCCTCTTTTGGATATGGCCCTCCCGCTTTTTGTGTTTAATTTATTTTATTTGAGGGTGGGTGGGGCGTGCGGGGGCTGCAAATAAACACTTGCGTAAATTTAAAACAATCACAATCATAAATCGGCCTTCCTGGTAAACGAATCGCACTGGCGCTCCCCCTCTTCCTTCCCCCGGGTAGTGGGGAAGCCGAGTAGTGCGGGGCTGGCGGCGGCAGCAGCCACAGCCGCAGCTGCTACCAGTGCCCCAGCCGCCCCTGCTTCTGTGTCTCTCGCTGGTCTATCCGACCAAGGTATGTGGGCGTTAAACAAAAGACGAGGAAATTTGTATGGGGCTCTTGGCGCATGCGCCCTTTTCCTGCATGCACCGATGTCCATCCTCCTGACTTCGCCTCCTTTCCTTCCACCCCCTTTCACTTCATCCCTCCTTGTCCACCAACCACCAAGCCAGCCAATCAACCTGTGACCTCCCTTTCCCCTCGTTGCCCCCTGAGAGCAAAAGTGTGGAACCAATAACAAAGCAAAAGTGCTATTTCTCCTTCGAGGGCTTTTAGAAGGGCTGTGTATGGTACAGTGCAGTTAGGTGTGCAACGTGCGAGGGAATAACAAGACACTGCCTAGAGATTAGAAATATGATTCTCCTGAAAATATGTGAAAATAAAACCTGCAAGGTCGAGAACCCGCCTTACCTACCCAAAAGTGCAAAAATGAACAAAGTTGACTTAAAATACTATAACAGTACATTTTCCACCGAATTGCCTGCCATCTGTGTCCAACATGCTTTGTTCTATTCAAGCAGCCCAGATATTGGGCTATCTCAGTGGTGTTCTCAAGGTCCAGATCTCATTCCTCTCTGCAATTTAAATGCAAATGGGGTAATGGCACATCTCTTACATTTGTTGATTGGTAATCGTTGAAACGTGAGGCCACGTGGAGGTGTGACGACTGGAGTTTCTGAAACCTCTCAGCTGGAATCTTGTTTCAGCCTTACCCAGAGCGATTCGCATGCAGTCTCTGGACGACGTTTAAGCAACAAGTCGACCTTGCGTGTGCTTCTTGTCCTTATCTTCCGTCCACATGTTTACAACCGTTTTGATTTCCCCTTCATCTTCTCAGCTTGGTAGAAAAAATATATTTGTTCCATCTGAATGCAATTTCAGATGTTCTCGCTGCAGGCCATGTGCATTCTTTTAAAACCACTTGAACTACTTACGTGTATATTTCTTTTCACAGCGAGCTTAAAAATAATGTTATCCCGTTACTAAAATACAACAAATGAAATGCACAAAATGCCAATCAACAACGTTTCGTAATTTTATGACCACTGTTGTCCATATAAATGATCTATTTAGCCCAATAATGTTAAATACATTATACCAAAGAGTTTAATAAATCTTCACAAGCCCACCATTAGTTCTTGATGTGTTTTGCGATGACTGGACAAAAAAGCCAAGCCAATGAAAACCTTGGTTTTTTTTAAAACAGTTAATGATGATAACTCAACGTACATAACATTTCCATTTCAATCCCTTTGCATTTGTCTAGAAGATTGCAACTGGCTAATGCTACATTATCCAAATATTAGAATGATCACAAATTAAATATATAATTTGCTCAGATTTTCCAATCTTGTAAAGTGTCATTCTTCTAAAACATCTCTTGGAACGTAATTGTTTTTTCCCCCTGAGACAAAGCATAGCCCTGTTGCATTTTGCTAAATTAAAACAGGAAAAAATATATATATGCATGTGCATGCCTAATGCCGTATAAATCTAGTCCATAAACATTACTATTTATATTTTCTAAATATCACTCCCCTTGAAAGTGTGGCTTGTAAGGTTGATTGCGCATCTGCCAAGACTAATAATATATTCAGTTTTTAAAAATATCTTTAAAATGAATGCTACCCGTTATGATTGTTCAAGAAAGCCTTAAGCGATGCAGGTTGATACTTGGTATAATCCCCTGTAATGTTCACCAGTTTAAAAAGGTTTTTTCCATGACCTAATTTTGCTGAAATGAACTGTTGTTTGCTGGCCGATTGTTGAATCTTAAAAAAAATGTAGATGCATTAACAACTCATTATTTATTCCTCCAGAATTATCGTAAATAATTGGCGTTATAATTAACAGCATGTTAAATCAATTGGTGCGGTTATTTTAAATTCGATCATTGTCATTGTTGTCCATACTAATGTACGTTCCCTTTATTTAATTTTACATTATAAGCTCAAATACTTACAAGTATTTTGCTGGCTTAATGTCTATTTTACTATTGCAAGATGGCCACAAGCATTTACAGTGCTACATTTAGTTAAATATTTGTCATTAAGCCACTTAACCACAGCTCCGTGTCATTTGTTCTTCCAAACCAGGTGTAACCTTTTTTTATTTCAATTGAGTATTGTATGGCAGAGCAAACCTGAATATGAGTGTCGGCTAACAGTGGCTGCAATTGCTAACTGCTACATAATACCTCGTATCTGCAGAAGACATGGATATTATAATTATAGCCTGCGTGGCTGAAATAAACCATTAAAAAGAAATGTTAATACTAATATCAAAGCCCTGCCCTACATTAAGCAACTATTTAATGTCACCCAGGCTTATACTGTGGTATTGACTCACTTAGCAGAAACATGAGATTTCCAAATGAAGACTGAAAAACTCTGCAACATATGTATGCGCACGTGCACAGAGTGTAGAATTTGATTGTTAAGCAGCAGATGATGGCTTTAGCTACGGGTGAAGGTTGTGGTTCTGTTTTTACCCAGCTATAAATATTTCAATTTGTAACATAGCCTGTTCGCAAAGACCATACTGTACTGAATTATGTTGCCTGACAAAGTGAACCTGTGACTCATACCAGATATCCATTAAGAATGCCAAGTGATTAGTTTGTTAAATGACTGCATGAAACTGCATGGTTAAATGTGAATATGTTTTCCTTGCCACAGGTTTTATGTTCTGTTAGATACTCTGTTGATAGGTTTTCTTTGCTCATACAGTTCTTGTGCACATGTTTTAACTTTGGCAGGGCATTTCAATGTTAAAACAATGGGATGGTGGTGGGGGGGGGGGAGAACATACTTTCAGTAATTTCAATTACCTATGGTGCAGATTACCAAGAAGACATTGCATGTCCACAATTGACTGTTGTGCAACCTTTAGTGGTGGATGTCTTTGCTTTGTGCTACGCATGATGGTTTTTCAATCACTCTTGGAGGGCATTTTAAAAGTGCTCACCAACTCTGCATGAGGAAACACAAAATTCATGCAACTCTCTTACATTTGGACCACGGTGCACCTTCATTCAGTCGTGGCATTTTGCATTTGCCCAGGTCTTCTCTGCAGATTAAACAGTAAACTAAACTATGTCTTTGTCTCTCTTCCTTTCTCATGTTTCCAACCAACTGTACTCTGTTGTACCCTTCGCGGATGCACTTCCTGTCCAAGGTAAGGAACTCGGTGGGAGGTTGCTTATTTTATTCTGCTGCTCCTGTTGTATTTGACTCCCTTGCCCCCTGTTGAAGTAAAACATTCCCTCTGGTTGCCCCTCTTTAAAACAAGTATTCACGCTATTTTTGTACAGCATCTTGGGATACGGTCACATTTTAGGGTGCCCCCTTATAGTTTTTGTCGATGCACGTTTACGTCATGTTCATCAACGCAGTGTCTTTGTGACATCAGCTAATGCTCTCCATGGAGAATGTGGGCCTCTCTTCATTGAGGATCATGCTGTTCTCCCAAGTCATCCATTCCTTTTGAAATGTAGCCTTTTTTTCCCCAAACTGGATTAGCATTATTGCAATGAATAAATTATGTGTACAATTTCGATTTAAAGCTTTTGTGTCTGCAGGGATTCATCTTCTTGGTTCTTTCGGTAAAGTCACGTAGAAGGGAAATAATAAAATAATAAAAATAAATCATTATAAAATACAATTCTCACGACGTTTTGGCCACAACGCAAGCAGCCGTCCTCAGGTGAAGAACAGGTCTGTCGGAAAGACAGTCACGAAAGCTTTAAATCTTCACCTGAGGACGGCAGCTTGCGTTGTGGCCGAAACGTCGTGAGAATTGTATTTTATTATGTTCTATTTTTATTATTTTATTATTTCCCTTCTATGTGACTTTACCTATGTGTACAATCTTTTCGTTAATACATTTTCAACAGATTGTCCGAATGGAATGAGAAAAATTGTGTAATATTACTGATATTGGGTTTTTCCCTCCTGCTTTCAGTTTATAGCATTGATTGCACATTACTAATGGTGCGGTGTGTGTTCCCTTGTAGCAGCCAAGAGTCTTCTGAACAAGAAAACTCAGGATGGCGTTAAGGTGAGCCAGCAAAATTCACGCTGTGCTCAGTGCTTAACTTTACATGCTCAGCGTTTCAGCAATGTAATGTTTAAATCCTAATGGTTTTATCATCTGTGTTAATATATTGCGTAATGGCCTTGAGGTTGTCGTAAGGGCTTGCAAATATGCTGTTTGTTTAGTGCTGCTTATGAAATATATATTATGGGCTATTAATCCAATGACATGTGAAGGAAAGTTCTGAATGTGACAAATAACACGCTGGGTATTGTCGACAAACGTCACATTTTGCATGTCTGCTGTGATTGTTTGATGTCACTGTAAACCTAGTCTTTTGTTTATACTTTTATGTATTTAACAATGACTATCCATGTGTACCATATCAACTATATGTGCTACTTAAAAAAAGAAATGTGCCTATGTTTAAATTCTCTCTTCAGTGCTTTATGAAAAGAATAAAACTCATGAGGCCACTGCCGCACACAGTACAGTTTTAACAAACCTCTAACGCATATGCCAAGTAAATGAAAGGAGAAAAAAATGCTCTACATGGAATAATTAAATATACCCCTTACTCTTCTTTTCCCTTTTACAATATAATACGGAAATTAATCCAGTTCACACTTGAATGCTGCTGTATTTAGATGATTCCATGGAGTGCATTGTGTATACTCTTCGAATAAACTAAGCACTTAATACTGAGAGGGCTTTATTTGCTATGTCAGCATGCAACAAGGTATGAAGGCATCGTCTACAAAAGAGCACGCTTACAGCCTTGCAGCTTAAGATAATCAAGCCGAGCCGTATTGTTTTTTGTTATATATCTCATGGATATTCTTACTTTTGTGAATCGCTTGTTCCAAATTGTAAACATCGCTGCCAAGGCTGCGCTTGCCGTCAGTCCAAAAGCCTTCTTGCCGTGCTGCCATGTGTGGTTTATATGTGACTAACGGCTACAATTTGCTCTTTGATATCGCTGCTTCCGCCCCCCCTTCGACATTCTGCTACTCGGGGGTTTGTGGGGGGTTTACATTCAGAAACGGAAGTCCAGTGCAAGTGTTCAGGTACTGTTGAGAACCATCTTGTTTTCAAAAACAATAGCAAATAGTAACAAGTGTAAATTAACAAAAACAAATATTTGTGAGTAAAAAAAAATGAGAGAAAAAAAACATTAAATTATGATTCATTAATTGTCCTTTTAAACATATATTGCTAGATATTGTCCATTCCTGTCCCATCTTTTTTGATTGGAATTGCATCGTGGCTTTCACACCCTTTTCATCGCGTCCTCCCAGCCGTTGCCTTGCCGTGTCGTGACATCGCATGTGTCTCTCGCATGCCAAAACTTGGTGCGTCGCTTTTCTTGTTTTGTTTAAAAAGTCCACCCCCAAACCCCTCCTCTTCCTCCTCCTTCCCAACAACGACCCTGAGTTTTGGTGCCGTTTATTTCTGCACGTGCATGCAAACAGAATGCCGGTTGCACTCGGAGGGGTTTCTTCCTATACATAATTAGACTTTTTTTAAATGAGTTATAACAAGTAAAATCATACTATGATGTAGTCTGTAACAAACCATGAAGCCTGAAGTGAATGGAAAACACTCGGGCACAATGTGCGAACATTCATTTCACTTTGTGTTTGATTTTTTACTTGGTGTATTTAGCTGTTTCTGTTTCATTGTTTTTTTCTTTACTCTTGTTTTCTCATTTACCAAATAACGTCAATATTTGTTTTGTTTTTATTATGTACGCGTTTTCATGACAACCCATCCAAAGTAGTGTTTTCCACTTTTCCACTGTAAAGTCATCCAATCTGTCTGCAATAATACTGTACAGGGTCAAAGTGTAACTTTTGAAAGTTATTCCTGTGCAGGTTCATGTATTTGAATTGCAGCTTGCCGTCAAGTTATGTCAGAACCACTTTGTCCGATTGTTATGCAGCGTTACTGTAAAATTGTAGTTAAACCCGGAGGATGAAGGCAGGGGTGGAAATGCTATTGAATGTATTTTTTTGCTAAAAGATTTGAATTTGCGGGTAAACAAATGCGTACGCACAAAATGTTAAGTCAATGCTGAGGACAACGGAACGCATTTTTCACGAGCGTAAGAGCCGAGTTAAAAACTCTCACCGGGCACATTGCTGTTGCAGTGGGGGGGGGGAGCCATTTATCTCCCCAGGTGGGGCAAGGGGGGGGGATGGCGTTGAGCAGTAAAAGTATTTTAACGCACCGTTTTCTGCCACGACAGCAGAACAACACAGCAGCCAGTGTAGCGAGCAGTGGGAAAGAGGGCTCCCCTTCTCCAGCACTGGTACTGCATGCTTGTGTTTCTTTTACGTTTGATTTGGGTTCATTAATTCCCTTTATTTTCTCTATGAAGTAGTGTAACATTGTCACGCAGTTCTAACATTTTTGTTAGGGTTTATTGTTAACGCGAGGGGAATTTTGTTTTCCTCCGTCTGCCCTAGCTGGTTTGGTTTGTTTTTCGTTGTTGTTTAACGATTTAAGTAATTTGGTTGAACCGTGTTTTATTTGCGATGAACATTGATTTATCCTCCAGTTTTCCTCCCTTCACGTTGGGATTTGTTTTACAGTGCACCATGAGTTCACTTTAGAGTAGCAACATATGTTGATAGTTTTGCATGGCTTTTGTGACTTTAGTTTCTTTATATTATTCTTTTAACGTGAAGACTCTATTTTATATACACACACATGTTTGTGTGTGTGTGTATTTATCTGAATCTTAAATCATAACTTTTTTGCTATGAAAATGCCATTTTTCATCGTTTGATTAGCCGCTGCATTTGTTCACAGTTCTCTAATTGCCTAATTTTGATCTCCACTGTTTATGATGGTGGCTGACAGTGCTAATCCACTCATCAATCAATAATGATAATTTATATACACACCGATATTCATTTTGCTTTTGGTATATTCAATACTAAACTTTGTAATTGCGCTAAGTGAGTTGAAATCGTTATAGAAGGCGATTTGTGTGTGTTATTTATTACAAACTTTATTTATTTTGTTTGCCTTTTAGTTTTTATCCTAGTTTTAAAACTGACCTTGGCTCAATGGCATTTAATTTTATTTTAAACTTTGCATAAAAAAATACACCTTGCAAAAATGTTGTACTTGTAATAAGTCTTACACTTGCATGATTGCACGCCATCCATTGAATGACCAGACTTCAGGGATGAGTCGTCTTCCAAGTGTAATTTACCTTTAATGTAAAGTGAGTAAGAATTCGGTAGTGTGTCAGTGTTCTTTCTGTATACTTTTGAGCAAAAAGTAAGGTGACTTGAATGAACAGTATTGGTACAAATTCACAGAACTGCTCATTTTATTTTAATTTCACATCTTTCTTTTTTGGAGACATTTGGCATTGTATAAAATAGCCAAAACGTTTAAATGTTTCTTCAAATTAAAGTCTCCCAAGTAGTAGTACTCTAAAAAATGAGTACAATTTTGTAAAAAAAAAAAAAATGAGCACTTCAAATTATCTAGCTGGGTTTAGTCATTGCTTAAGCTTTTTTGCATTTGATATGGTAAAGGGTAAAACAAACGGCTGGTAATGCATGCATTTGCGATGCACATCCCACTTTATTTGCACGCAAACGAACGAAACACCCTTTGTGTCCATATACATGACCCAGACGGTTTTAACACCACAAAATGTTCATGAAAATCACAGCCCTGTTTTAGCACACATGAAACCAATGTAGGGGACTTGTAGTTGGCATTGACCACGGAATGCATTTTTGGCACGTTAGGAAGGATTAAATACAACCGGTATTCTACTTAACCCTCTTGTCTACTTCACTCATTCTTCAGGAGCCTCAGACCACTGTTATCCACAATCCGTCAAATGGAGCCAAGGTATTTTTTTTGTAAGCCATGGTGTTGTCCATGGTACTCATTCTATAAACTTTGACCACTGCCCAGCAGGGGATCAAAGTCTGTCCTGCACAAGTCACCAATTATTATTTGAGTGCTTCCTTGTCCACATTAGCAGCATCGCTTTTGGGGGGTTGACTTCACATTTAGACACCAAAACTATGAATTTATCATTGTGTGTAATCACGCATTACTGCCATGCTTGGGGGTGTGTGTGTGTGTTGGCTGGCTTCTTGCGTTACGTTTTTTGTTTAACCGTCCAAGGTTTTTATTTGCTCGCATTTTAAATTGTCTGCAAAGCATACTTTTGTTTTTCACATTTTTAAAGAATGCGGTAGGCTTCTGAGAGAAAAATATTTGTTAAAAGCACCGCAATATAAATAATGCCGCCATAGAAATCCACGGAATAATTATTGATTTGATCGCCCAATATTTTATTGCACCAACAATATCCATAAATAAAAACAAATTATCGACACCAAATGATGTCATCTCTGTTTCATAATTATGCTTGCTAAAAACAGAAACTTTGATATGAGTGTGAATATGAAAAAAAATAGTTGACAATCTCGTCATAGGTGCAATGTTGTACTTGGCTATTGAAGTGCCATATTGCACCAGATTTAATTTCACTTTTGTGAATACTCAGCTGTCTCTGAAGTTAATCACAATGAATTATTCTTGGCAGCCTTATATTGGATTGTTTGACCTATTTTGTTCGACTCGTCTTCATTTAAATCAAAATAACACTCATTTTCTTAGTCTTTAAAATTGCTAAAAAATATGCATTGCCATGTGACGTCTGGAGCAGTGATTTTCAAGAGTCGTGTTAGATAGGAAAATATCTCAAAAGACACTTTCCATATGCGGCATGTGGAGGCATGGGTTTGTTTTTCTGTTAACAATGCCACGGAAGGATGCATTGTTTTGCATGAGGGGGGAAATGTGCATCTTGTTGGAGTGGGCCATCGTCCTGGTGACATGAATGCATCTTGCTGGAACGTGAATGAACTTGTAATTGCTCTCTCATTACTCTGCAAAAAGGATGGAAAGCCTTTATTTTCCATTGTGGACATTTCTCAACAATAACGATATAAACATGCGGTGACAGAAGGTCATTTAAAATATAATGGATGGTGCAGTAGTTGCTCCGATTGAACTAAAAAACAAAGGTTTTCCTAAATTCTTTGATTCATTATGTCTTGTGCATGTTTATTTTCTTCACAGTTGTGCTTACTTTAAAGAGACACTTGCCTTGTCAAAACAAGTCTAAAGTTACTCCTGTGTGAATGCACACAACAGCTTACTCTCACCCATCACGTTTTCAAAGAAATATAAATCAGACTTAAGATTAAACACCATAACCAGGTCTGTCTTTATTAATTTCCATGCGGTCGCATGATGTACTAAGCTGTGCACCAACAGTTCTCAATCGCCGCTGCTTTTGCTCACTCCGGCCTTCTGTGCCTTCTTTACTTGCGAGTGGAGAGGATAAACTTGGTAACAAGTACAAATTTGCAGTTGGCAGCCAAGGAAAGGCTAAACTGAAGTGACGGTTGAGGATTGCTGATCACGAAGCACCGATTCAAAGCTAATCGCATGGAGTTGGTATGACCGAGGCATCTCTTTCTTTAAAGGCATGGCCACTAGCTAAACGTTGTGCAGCATGACTACCGTAACATTGCCACCTTGCAACTCGGATATTTCGGATTTCCCACTTAGAGATATGTCGTGTACTTGGACATGGCAGCTCTTCGTGTACAGTTGAGACATATTTTCGTTTGGCATGTAGTAAAAAAAAAAAACTGGATACTCTTTGTTGAACTTTCATGTTTAATACGACGATTTGTTGAACTGTATGCAAATCCACCATTTGGGTTTACAGCAACAATAATACAAAATAATAAAACAATTCTGGTGAAATGTTTAATTCTTCCAAGGAGAGATAACCGAAAGATTGTCGCACACGAAGATATAGTGGTCTAATTTCATCATTTACAAATGTGTCCATGCAGTGGTGTATTTGTCTCTTATTGAATTTCATTAACTTTTATTGCTTTAAAAGGTCTCTTTTTTTGTACGTCTTCATTACTCGTTTTGTTTTTACCAGTTTGCCCTTCATGCTTTCTCTGTACCATTCCTTTAGTCCTTTGTGGAATGCTTACACGTGTTTTTGTTTATATCAACAGCAGTGTTTTTTTATAACAACCTAAATGTTTAACGTGGTTTTTTTTCCTGCCTCATATTGTATTTGTCCTTTAGTCCATTTGTGTGTCATAGTACATATATTGTTACATTGTCACTACTGTTTGTACACGCACATACAGAGATAACATCCAGTTTAACACGTAGGCTTTCGCGAACAATATTATTCATAATAAACGTTTTTGGGTTAGATCGCGTTATTTATAAATGTGTCATAACCCTCCACCACCCGACACGGCCAATCGGGAAAAAAGTGTCACGTTGACAAAAGACAAATAGTTCACTACTTTAGCCCACCGGTGTGTTGAAGAGTTTTTTTTAGTACGACGTTTCGCTGGTAATTACATCCAGCATCATCGGGCAATTCGCCAGAATGGTGAAGCCCTCACTTGCTCCCGGTTTTAAATAGAGCAGCAAGGTGATGTCATCATTTAAAAAAACTGTAAATGTTGTGGATTCACTCTTCAACACACCGGTGGGCTAAAGTAGTCAACTATTTGTCTTTTGTCAACGTGACACTTTTTTGCTGATTGGCCGTGCCGGGTGGTGGAGGGTTACGACACATTTATAAATAACGTGATCTAACCCAAAAAACTTTATTATGAATAACATCCAGTGTGTACCCCATTTACTGACTGGTCGCCCCAATTAGTGAAGAGCATGAGTTGGAAAAAAATATTTCGTAAAAGCAAAAAAATTCACTGTCCTGTGGTTAAAACTGACACTTATCGAACATTCCTTTTCTAGGATTTGCTTCACACGAGCAATTAACCTTTTTACCGTAACAATATCATACAACACTCTTGTTATTTTTTTATGACTGATTACACGAATTGAAAGTGATCTTAATATTTCACACCGATAAAAAAATATTTACTTCTAAATGTTTGACAATTTATGTTGAGGCAAATATGACATGCCAAGTTGTGTAAAAAAGGAGCATTATCTTCTTAACAATATGTACTAACTGCCTGTACTTTGTTTGGCCTTCTACGCAGGAATCTTCCGAGAGCAGCAATACTACAATTGAGGATGAAGACGTGAAAGGTGAGTCGCAATCCGAAACGGCTGTTAACTTGCAATTTTTGCCATTTCATAACGAGCGCAAACATAACACGGCGAGCTGAAATTTTTAAACAATACGTGGAGTAAATGTGCCCAGCAGACAAAGACGCCTTCTGGCTGCCGAGCAGCGTACGAGGGAGATGCTGATTAAGTGAGGCGATCCAGTGATGTGACCTAAAGGGCCATGTGGGAATAAATGAAAACAAAACAAATTGAATTGATTTTCAAATTGTCTCTGCTCATAACTTCACATTGTGATTGCAGTCCCCCGCCGCACTCTTCGTGTTTCTTTGGTTTTCCCCTGTACAGTGTGCTGCAAATATGATACGCCTGTGCTGGTGTCGAGACTTAATTATTAATGAGTGTGCGGTGCTGAAGAGCCACTTACAGTGAAATATTACAGCAGCGCTCGTATTCATAGGATCCCGCTGTTTTGAACGGATATATTGGGTTTAGTAATCATTGCATAACGATGGTCATTTGCCGGTTATTACACCATGTTCCCACAGTTGAGTTATCCTGCATGTTTTGTACCTCATCATGTTTAGTTTTATTCCTTTTTTTTGTCATTGCTCATTTTTGTGCGTGTGTTTCCTTTCCACCCCCCCTCCGTACCCTTTTATTTTCCTCACCCTAAACAAAAAACACTCGCCTGGATTGGTGTGATGCCCCCACACTCCCCGCCACCCCCCCCATCCCCTACCCACACTGCTCCCTCCTCCCTCCACTCCTTGCCCGATGCATGCAGCCGCGAAAAGTGCAGAGCAATCGAGCGCAGTTAAACGGACGGAGCCAGCGGCCCTGGCTAATGCTAGCGCTAATACGAGCCCGACGGTTAAGCCCACCCAAAGCCACTCGCTCCAGCTTTCTGAGTCCGATCGCTCCAACTCCGTGCAGTGTAAGTCATAGGGGAATGAGTGAATGTGAGGAAAGCTTGCATGCACCTGCCAAGCTGTGGGAGGAGCACTCTTTAGGGCGATTCTCCAAGATGTTGGCAATAATAATAATTATAACGTGTTTTGTAGGAGTTGAGAGGTTCATTTTGTTAACCGAGGCAGAGTTTTTTTTTATGAATACATATTTTATGGGAGGCAGAGGCGTTGGACATCCGTGACTAATAAACCAATTGGGTTCTTTTGAAAATAGGGGATCCTTGACAAGTTTGGAAACCGATACCCGGTGTTGCCTGGTGAAAATGTGCATTGTATTATGGTGTGACCCAGCGCCGAGTATCATTGCCATTGTGAAAAGGGATGCTCTTTGGGGGTAACCCGAGTCCCCCAGGCTGTTGCGTCACATAGTCACGCTGGCTTGTGGCAGTAGGGGGATACAGACATGGAGAGTCAGCTGAATGGTGAGTAGCCGCCTCCTCGGCACTCTGGAAATTTGCTAAATTCGACAACACGTTCGTAGCCTGGTGTCTCGTGACGGAGTTGCTGAAAGAGTTTTTGGAAATGTCAACAGGTATTTGTGTGTCTGTCTGTGAATGTATTTAAATGATCCATTATAAAATAGTGTCAAAGTCACCTTGCTGCTGGGCTCGGCGACGGGGAAGCGTTAGAGGAGAGAACAGAATTGCAGTGCGGAACCCACGGGCTTTGCATATCTGTGCCTGAGCCAAATAGTCTGCCTTGGTTAGCTGGCTTCGCCGTGTAATAACATCAATGCCAGTGGAATAATTTACTATGAGCATGGATGGGAAGCTTAAAATAGAGTCTGGATTAGTAAGCAGGTAGATATTTTGCTGCTGTGTGTGTTTGCGCATTCAGTATACAGACTCGTAAATGTCTCGCCATAGTTTGCATGCTTCTCCCTCTTCTTTTGGTGTTTGCGTTTGGTTTTATATATCGGTATGATTTGTTTATTTGAGACAGACATCACCATTGCTTTCATTTGAAGGTTGTGTTATTTATCCTTTTCATTTTGACACAAAGTATTGGCTCAGTGATGTGGTGTAGCTGTCCTCGCCTCCATACACATTCCTCCAGTTATTTTAGTGAAGGTTCTTGTTAAACAATGTGCAGCCTAGAATTAGCTTTGGTGTGTTCTGTCATCCAAGCCCAGGTGTCATCCAAGCCCAGATGTTTTGCATAGATAAAACTAACACATTAAAATTGCATTTTTAATTACATATCTCAGCAATTACACATTCGGTTGTCTCAACACCTGGTGCCAGAGTATCGCATATACAATGCTTGAGAGTAAACAGGGTTGACAGAACACATTTCCGTAGCTTTGTATGTCCAGAAAAACGCAAACCATGGTGATTGCTTATTAACAGTGTGCAATTTGTGTGGTTTTCCGTGTTTGTGAACGCTTAATTGACCCGAGATATTTTCTCTTATTCCCCGCACACACGTGACATTTTAAACTGCTCTGCCTCGACATCCCCTGCACTTGTTGAATTGCACTCCTCTTATTGACTGCCGTCTCCTTAATTGCATTAATTTTGTTTGATCCCTTGTAATTGTTTGCCATAATACACCTCTGCTGCATGGAATATATTAATATATAAATAAAAACGTCTGTCGCTTAACCCCCGATTCCAATTGTTGCTTTACGCTCTTGTCCTTGCTACCCATTCCATTCCTGTCCGCCCCCCCTCCACCGCCGCACAATCCTCGCCTCCCACATTCATCTCTCTTCCCCCCCCCCCCCGCTCCTCGTTATGTTCCACGCCGCTCGCTTGCATGGTTGCCTGGCGACCGCAGCACGCAAGCAGGAGATAATCAAGGTGACGGAGCAGCTCATCGACGCCATCAACAATGGCGACTTCGAGGCTTACTCGTAAGCGAGCGGCATCAGCCTCCACACGTCAGCGATTTACACCCCACCCCCACCCCCCTTTTATTTAATCGGTCATTTTATTTCTCGTCCGTTGCGGGGTCCTCTATTTATGGCCAAATTAATGGCAGTCATGTGCACGAAATATTAAGCAGGGTTTGCCGCTATAACCCTGCCATTGAATTTTGCCTTTTCATTGCAGGATTTGAAATCTTTTGTTACTGCAGTTGATTTATTAAAGAACCCTCCCTGAGTTGTCTGATTTCCAGGATTTATTTTGCTAATGTTGAGGATGACATTATCAACATTTAAGGTCAATTATTATAATACGGGAATAGCAAATGCTATCATGGCAAACAACATTTATTAACATTTGAAGTTATCAAATGCCTGTCAATTTTCAGCAATTGTTTGTACCAATTGTATTTTGTTTTGCTTTTTGTTCACTTGCTGCGTATTGCGCCACATGCAGGAAGATTTGTGACCCCGGCTTGACCTCCTTCGAGCCCGAAGCTCTGGGTAACTTGGTGGAGGGGATGGACTTCCACAAATTCTACTTTGAAAACCGTATGTTGTGTGCATGACACTGTTAAACCATGCAGTAGCCCTTATTTAAACCACAGAAAATAGCTTCATTTGTGGATTTTATTTGAGGTGTAACGATGCATCAATTCACAAATTCACATTATTTCTTAAAGCTCCTCACATTGGATCACGTGTTTAAACATTGATGTAATGGGTGCATTGAGCCCAACAGCTACTAGAGGCACTGCCATTAACCACAGTGATGAAACAAATATTGATTATTTAATTGTGTTGCGACACTGAATTGTGATAGTTCTTCCAATTGTCTTCGTGATGAATCGTTAGACCTCTCGTAATTATGTCACAAAGATTCCAAGAGGCCCATTTCAGTGCACGTTTTTATACCAATTTAGTTTTGTTTTAAGCATGGCCCTGATTCTAAAGCATTTAAGCATTTTATTGAAGAGAAGCCAAAACTAATTTTTTTTTGCCCCATTGTGAAATAATCAGGTAATGTAAAAAAAGGAGCTTTGGGGAGAGGAAGCGCAGAATTGAAGTGCATGGAGAAAGGAAACCCGCTCGGCCTTCCCAATGCAGTAACTTGACTTTTGGCTCGCAAGAAGGTGGCAGTACGAGAGCCTTTGCTGTTCCTTTCATCGATGCGGAAGTTCACAATTTTTCTTTTCTCGTCACCACCACCAGTCCTGTCCAAGAACACGCGCCCGATCCACACAACGATCCTGAACCCGCACGTGCACCTGATCGGCGAGGAGGCGGGCTGCATCGCCTACGTGCGCCTAACGCAGTACCTGGACGGCTCGGGCCTGCCGCGCACCCAGCAGTCGGAGGAAACGCGCGTGTGGCACCGTCGCGACGGACGCTGGCGCAACGTGCACTTCCACCGCTCGGGAGCGCCGTCCGCCCTCCCCGTCAAATAAGGTGAGCGGCTACCCGTTGCGTCAAGCCCCTTCGTTTGTTACACGATGTCTCGGCCCTTCCTCTGTTATTCCTTCTGTACCCTTGGCACTTGAACAACAATCAAAATTGTTTACGGAAAATTAAATAAGGTGAGCGGTGGCACGACGTGCCCCCCTTCCCCCCCCTATTTGAGGAGCCACTGAGCAACGATGACTCAAAAGGTTTGTGGGTTGTACCGCGTGCTGTTGAGCGCGATGTCCGACGTTTTTCCTCCCGTGTTGAGGGCTTCTTCAGCAAGTTGCGCTGCTGCTGTACAGCCCTCTGATGTGTTTTTGGGTTGTACCGCATGTTATTCGGCACGATGTCCAACGTTTCGCCACGTGCTGGGAGCTTCTGCGGCAGTGTTTTTCTTTCCGAATATTTTCGGTTTTCATTGTAAACATTTTCTATCTGGATGTGCTGGTTTCTTCTACACGTCAACTGTTGGCTCAAAAATCCCTCTTAAACTCTGAAGGCTTTTCTGGGTGCATAAATAATAACTAATTGCATGTAAATTATTATTTCTTAAATAGATTGTTTTGACAGAAATGTTACTATAAAAATGTATAACAATAATACATCTTGCCAAAAATGCAGTATTCTGAACATTCAATGAGCCCTTTCAGCCCACCTTGTCACAAACTGAAGCCATCACCCCCCTGAGTGAGGTCTCCACTTTGAACAGAAACATGATTAGAATCTGGGTGTTTTGAAAGTGGTCCAGTGCACTGCACTAGCACAAACAAACAAGCCTGCCTGGATCAAGATTACTATCTTGTGCTCTCTCAATGCTAATCCCACCGCTACTGGCACCACCACTGGCCAAAGCCATTTGTTGGACTCAGGAGATTGTGAAGGTTTGCAGAAGTTGCAATCATGTTGTCGTGACTTTTGAGTCTAGCCTTGTGCGTCACCGCTTTATCACCAATATTGCTTGTGATAAGGTAATGCTCTTAGTAGAAACCTTGTAACCCCAAATGATTAATTTATCAAGGTGGGTACGGTTGATTTTGTGGCTGAGATATGTGAATGATTGCATTGCCGAAGTGTGTAGCAAGGATAAACGATACTTTGACTGGGGTGTCGGCGTCACATTGCTGCAGTGTGGTGTGGGTAATTGCATGACAGCACTTTTAAAATAGTCGTGTTGAATATCAAGCTATGTGGTTGGGTGAATGATTGCGTATATTATATATGATTTGGAAAGTTGTGAGGCTGTACCGCGGAGTATGTTATTTTCCTGCATTGCATTGTGCGGCTGATTTGTTTGGCTACATTAGTTGTGGATATTTGCGGCTGCATTTGTGCAACATTGTTGATTGTGCGGTGCAGGTCACTGTGGCTGCTTTGTGTGGATGGGTAATTGAGCGGCCTCACCATACGATGTGAAGTGTGTCTGTATTGTGCAGAGCTGGAAATGTGCATGCCGTGTGTATCATCGCATTGCCTTGCTTAATATAAAATTCCGAGTTCGGTCATCGCTCATTGCCGATTTGCGTGGTGCAGGTCACCGCTCGACCGCTTAGCGTGGACGCGTCATTGCATGGCCGTGCTATAACATGCACTGCACACTGAGGGCAGTGCTGGCGGTTGAGTCGCCGCACTTTGCTGTGCGCGCGGAACGTTTTACCGACGTAACCCGGTGTGTGCTCGCGCGCGTGTGTTTTGTGTTGCCGTGTCACGCAGGCCGAGCGGGTGGTCTCGGCGATGGTGTGCTCCCTTGTGAGGCAGCCTCGAGCGAGCCGCCAACAGCGTCGCCCGCCGGGTGGCGCAGCAACGCATGTCGCGCCATCCCCTCCGCCCGGCTGCCTGCTCCGTAAAAAAAAAAGCACGTGACTCCATTGTCCTGTCGCGTCGCACTCTCTCTCTCTTTGGTGGATGTTTCAACTTGTTTCAGCGTACCGCACGGCGGCGCATAATACTTAAGCTAAAAAAACGGAAAAAAAAGTATATGTGTCATACATATAGCTGGCCAGGATGAAATTGTTGCATGAATTTTCTTAAGTACTGAAATTAAAATTGCAAAAAAAGGTAACGTTTCATATTTTTTTTTGTTTAAAAATTATCACCATGGCATGAAATTGTTACGTTGGTGTGCTTACAATTAGGTGTCGTAAATGGTATTGGATATGTACGTGAGCATTTGAATTCATCAGAAGTGATTTCTCGTGGAGGTGATGCAAACAAAAGAAGCATCATGCAGCTGTTGTTTTTTTATCATTATTATTACTATTATTAATGTTATTCTTACATGGAGGATCATCGTGTTGGGTGTAATTGTCATGTTGTAGACTGGGGAGGTTTATAAAAGCTTCCACTGAGAAGAACATTCAGAGGAACAGTCATTAAAGGTATCAAGCTGTGATGAAGCTTCCACTAATCAGAAGGTGTATTAGTTTGATAGAGGTTTCCGAAAACAATGCTTTTTTGAACGAACATTTTAATTTAAAAATGTTTCCGTTTATTTTTTTGTTTTATTTCCCCGCCCCCCTCCCCCCACCACCACCTCACGTAAAGTTCCTTGAGGCTGAAGGTGAAACGTCCCTCGCTGTGTGTGGTGTAAGGTCTCCTACGCGTGGCTGAGAATGTGGAACTACAGAAAGATCACAAACCTTTTTTCCCCGTTCCCGTGTGGAAACGGAGCTGTAGATTACGTTGGAGTTTGTAGCAGGGCGGGGGGAGGGGGTGAAAAAGACGGCGGTGTTGTCGAATTCTCCCCGTCCTTTTGCTCCCCCACACTTTACGAGGGGGCTAAGAGGCGCAGCAGAGTTGAGGGGGGGGGGCTCGCCACTCCTTCTGAGAATGCAGGCAGTTGTGCGTATGATGATGGCCGGTGCAGGGTATGTGGCTGGGTTCGAGTTATATTCGTTATTTTTCTTGTTTCAAGTCATCGTGGCAGTGCTGCGTTGAGTATCGGGGTCTGTTGAGTTGCCCCCCCCCCCCCCCCCCCAGAGTACTGGGGTGAGTGCAGAAGGCCAGAACACCGATGTGAGTGGGATTGATGAAGCCTTTTCTCGAAAGTGAACTTTCATATTTTTAGCATTGTAACATTTTCGGCAATGTTCTCTTTTTTGCGTTTAATTGTATTTGTATATTCCAGGCTTTAATTAAAAAAGGCTTTGGAAATTTTTTTTTTACAATTTCATATGTGTGCGAGAGAGCGCGTGGGAATTTTATTTCGGTTTTGCATATCGATCACTAATTGCTAGCAACTACTTTTTTCGTGACTATTTTTTGGGATTTTTTTTGTGCAATAACTTATTTCCATGATTGGTTTGAAATAACAACAGCACAGATGAAGCACTGCAGGCAGAAATAAGGGAAAGTAAAACAAGTTTTTAGGTTTATATGACATTTGAATTTGACAGTTATTAAATTGTAGTGTATTACATTTTAATACAATTTAGGTATAGATCGGTAAAAATAAAGAAAGTGCTGTTTTTCAGTGTATCACTATCATGTCTGATATGCAACTTTTAAACACATTGCAAACAGATTAATGCCTGCCAAATAAAGATTTAAATGCATGTACTGCTTATTTATTTAAAACAAAAATAAGAAAAAAACTTAACGTGAACTGGTATGAAATATTAAACATATTAAGTTGCAGAGCTTAATTAAAATAATTAACAACAAAAAAACGGTGTAATCAGTTAATCTTTCATTACAAATTGAATGTTATATTTGAACACGGTAAATGTAGCCTGCTCCGTTGGTTACCTTTTTAGAGTCTTGTATTTGAATTAGTTTTTTTTCTTCCTGGAATGCTTTTGAGTTGTATCATTTCTAAGCATGTTGTTCCATCGTGTTTTACTTATCTGAGCAACACAATGTGCAACTTTAGAGAGGGCGTCGACCAGTCCAATGCCTTCTTCATCCGAGCGTGTTTTTAGAGAGCAAAACGTGCACGGTAAAAAAATATATATATCTAGGATAACAAAAAAAAATACAAACGAAATCGTTGAACGTTAATCCATCTCGCGCGCGCGGTGCACGGCACTCCAGTTTGCAAGTCGTAACAAAATGTGCACGGGTGTTGTTTTTTTCGCTGAAGAGCTGATGTTGGTCAAAGAGAAAGGTCTGTGGGTTGGCAGGAATCGTTTATTGACTTCCTGAGTGCTTACATTTAACAACAACAAAAAATAGATAACAGTATTTTGTGAACTGTAGAACTTGGGGCGTAGTTACATTTTCTATCTGAAGAAGTAGAAGAGAATTAAATAAAAAAAGGAACAATTTAGGAGTGGATGCAAAATTGAGGCCGTTTATTTGCAGGAATGTGAAAAGATAGCAAGGACGATACCCGCCCCCCACCCCTGCTGCCCCCTCTTCCCCCCCTTTTGGTGAACATAGTCCGTTATTTTAACTCAAATAGTTTATAATCGCTTGCTGTATGCTGCATGATGACGTAGTGTAATGTTGTTGGCAGGAGTCGGGCTGCCTCTTGCGTTCTGTAACCCGTATGCCCGATTTGCTCTGCCCGTAGCTCTTTCCTTCAGGATATGTTCTTTCACTCTTGATTTTTTGGGACGTGTTGTACTTCGATATTTTTCCCTGCAAGACGTGTCGCATCTTGTAGAAAACAATAAATTCGCTTATTGAGACTGTAAAGAGGCGTTGCGTCGTGTCTGTGCGTGTCGATCTGCACGATTGAATTAATGCGCGAGTGAACGGTTTGTGTGCGATGTTCATTGGAATAAATCCTCGTCGTTCGGTTGTCATCGGTGGCGTAGTAACGACATTATCAGCTCAGGGGGTGCAGAAATCGGTCAGGTGGGGTCCCACTTTGATTTGCCTCGCACGGTCGCACAAAGACTCCTCTTCCCTAATTACATCATCATTACGCTCACGGTCTCAAACATTTAAAACAGTCTGCCTCAGCAGCAGACCACGCTTTCCCACCTGATGACGGACGCTTGTGTTGCGCCCGAAACGTGATTTTTTTTATTTTATACCTACGTGACTTTACCGAAAACACCAAAGAGTATACAGTATCTCATGTTGATAGTCAAAGGGGCCGCCAACTCGTAGCTTTGGCCACCAGGGAGGGGCAAGGCACCCCCTGCCCAACACGTGAGTAATGCTCCTGGCTGTCACGTGGCGGCTGACAATGAGGCACAGCTACTTCCAAGTCTTCCTTTCTCTGATCGTGGCCGATCGATTCCTGTCGGTCAACGTTTCGAGTTCTCCTTTGTGTCGTTAGAGGCTGCCCTCTTGCGTGGACAGCATCTACCTTTTGTATTCCTCCCCACATAGCAGTGCCGGGATTTTGGTGGTAATTTGTTGGCCTCCATTGTTTAACATTTCCAAACCAAAGAAGTCTGCATCTTTATCATTTGCACCAAAGTCTCTCACGTTTTCCTTGTGTTTTTGTCGTGGCAATATTCCCGGGATCCTTCTCGGCCAGTTCATCTCTGCAACCAAGAATCTCTCATCCTCCCCTACCTTTAGGGGTCCAGTCACGAAAACTTCAAATCTAGATTATCCAGCATTTAGATCCATAGAGTAAAACGGATCACAAATGCGTGGAATGGGATTTTTTAAAAAATATTTGATTGTTCTATATCTGAAAATATGCATTTAGGATAATGGTAGATAAACACACAACAGACAAAATCAACAAACTAATCAATTATTTATTCCAATCGACTTCATTGAATCGCGGTGGAATGGTGAACTGTGACGCGCATTTAAAGGAAACGAAGAGAGACAGGTTTTTTGGAACGCTAATTGCTTTTATTTTGAAACGTGGCTAGGTACGTGTGAGTGTGCTATTGACCACCCATATATAAGACTGCAATGCGCAATATAGGCACGTGTGATGCAGCACCGTCACCCCCACGGGATACAAAACGGTCGTGGTATCAAAAACAGTGCACAGGGTTATCGATGATCGCGTCACATTACAGCATGTTCAGTGAGTTACAAAACAAAGCGCATCCGCAATTATTAGGAGAGCGGCTTGCGTGCAAAACGCCGCAAGTGTCCAAATAAATGTCGTGTATGCGACTCACTCGGTGAACAACAACAGTACAGTGATGTCTAATAATAATTGCAGACAAAGCAGGACAGCAAATGTGAAGGTAAACTTTAGGAACGGCATGGCGCTTCTAAAAATAAGTGCCGCCGCCGGGAACGTTGACATCCTCGTGATAATGTCACGCGTGATATAGCTTCACGTGCTTTTATATGTTTGCCTATTATACATAGAGGGTGTGTGTTCTAAAATCCACGTAATGTCTTGCACGCGCTCCTACTCGCAAGGAATATTTGTATAAACGTAGCTTGTGTCTTCCGTTCCCTGGGTCGCGGTAAATTCAAGCTATGACTACAATTTCCGCAGCGAAATGGCCTGAGTCGAGGAGAGGTTGGGTGGGTTTGTGTACGTGCACCTAGCCTGGCACAAGTGTGTGAATAGGTATTTTTGTTGTTGGTGTGTATTGAACATCCGACTATGCCAAATGTTGACAGTGGGGAGCACAGGTGGTGCATCTGTCAGCCTTCTCGGTTAACCCCTGACACCTGGGTTTCTTCCGTTACCTCCTGCCAGCGAGCCTTCACACTTCACGTGGCATCAAAGTGCACCTCACCTGGCACAAGCGCCTGGTGGTGACTTCACCACTAAGTGGCGAATGTGTGTGTGTGTATGTTGTGTCTTAATAAACAGCACCTGCCCCAATAGTCCACGCTCTATGCGGGGGGAGGGGGGGTATTTTGACGCGTGTGTTTTGTAAGTGCACATGTGAATGTCTGGCTCTTGCCAGACACATTTATTGACTTTCTTTTACTGTCTTCGTGACGCAAGCGGCATTAAGCAGATGCGGTCTGGTCCGAAACGTGGCGCTTCTTGCTCAATTTATGGAGTAAGGTGAAACCTTGCATCTTATACATCGTATTCATATACAGTAGTAAGTTGAATGTATCCTAATCAGCTTAAAATACAATTTCCCACCCCCCATCATCTTCCTTTTCATTATCGTAATCCTTGACTTAAAATATTTCCTGACTACAGGAATTCATATTATCTGGGTATTTTGGTAAAGTCATGTAGATTGATCGCAACGTTGTAGTTTTTTGTTATTTTGTTATTTTCTTTGAACCTATCTACGTGACTTTACCGAAAGGCCCAAAGAATATCGTAATCTTTTTCATCTTCCTATTCACCATCATTTCCACAATCATCACCGCCACCGTAAATCATCCTCATCATCGAACATTGTCCATTCACTGCTGGGTGAATGCGAGCCTGCCGTGCTGGTTATGAGACACGTGGTCTTGGGCAGGACGCCTCCCTAGAGGGATGATGACGATGGCAGCCGAAGGCTTGGAACGTGCCAGGCAGGGCCGACCACCGTGCTGATGGAGCGATTCGGATCGTATGCAAGAATGTCCAACGCCAAGCAGGCCCGGGCAATCTTTGTCTCCCTTACGACAACCAACACAGTCCAAACAGACCACCGCGTGTGCCAAGGACATACAATCCTCGTGTTTAGTCGAGTCGGCCGACACGTGACCAAGGCTTTCCAAATCGCACTTAGTTGTGCATGGCAGTTAATGGTAGGTGCTAAGGTCATAGACAAGTGCTTTTGCAATTAATAGCGGTGATACAATATGAATACACGGCTGGGCTTGTGGCGTTGGCGATGCCTTTGATTATGTAAGTACCAAATTATCACGACCACTCTTCGTCTTCGCCAGAGAAGGTCTGTCGATATGACATTCACTGCTTAATGCCACGAGTCGCCACTAGGGTCCCGTTGCGTGAGACCTGCTTAGATTAAATTATAACAACGTTCGCGGACCAGCCCTCTTGTCAATCCACTGCTGAGATGAGGGCCTATGAACAAATTGGCCAGAATATACCCAATATCAGATTTTATGGGATTTAAGCAGGGCTGAGCCTTGGTAGTGCCTGGATGGGTGACCTGCCATCAATAATGTTACAGGGCGTTGCGTGATTACGTTGTCAGCAGAGGACTTTCCACATTAACTCGCTCGCACTAACTAACCAGCGCGGCTTTGTCTCATACCTCCAACGACTAAGATTGCCACCTGTCCAGGATTAACCCGCTGCGGGCGTCTTGTGGTCAAGTGGCAGGAACTCGTTTGTCCCGAGATCTGTTGGCATTTCGTTGAGTTGTATTACGGTGCACTTGCACAGTCTTGATAGCGGTAGGCTGACTGAGAAATATGTCTGGGTTTGGTCTGCTGCGGAAAAGGTGGCATCCCTAGCCACAACCCTGCCTCACACTGCACTCTAAATCATTACCATAAAATGTGAGCCCTCTGCCAAACACCCGAGCGCCGTGGCCTTCTTTGGTTTCATCATTTCTATCGCGATGTATTCTTTGGCATGTACACTATAGTGATATTGTTATCCGCACAATAACAACAACAAAAAACCATGTTGATCCAGCAAGCCGTGGGATCCGCACTAATAACATTAAACCGCAAAGTGTCTCGGGATGAAAGAAGAAAAAAGGGGGGGGGAGGGGGGACCGCACAGAACAATACGTGAGCCTTGCTTGGAGCTCGAGTGCAAATCCGGTACGAGTAATGATACCCCCCCCCCCGATGCCTTGGCGGATAACCCTGGAGCTTTCTCCACGTGAAGAGGCTATTCGACGGCCGGATAAAAAAAACCGCTCGTTCGGACCGGAAACAAATGACTACGCGCAAACAGAAGTGCCCTCGACAACAAGGCAAAGGGAACGCAAGAGGAGGCACCAGCATGGCTTTGCACGTCCAGATGCCATCACCAATCTCGCGCGATATTCCGACAAGAGCCTTTTTCCTCACAATTCACCAAGTGTCCATCAGTATCGCCAACCCATTCGGATAACTTGGGACGAGAGCACAGAAAATGGGAATGTACAAGAAAAAAAAATCTCGAAAATCCCAGTAAATATGTGAGTTACGATATTGGGCGTTTGTATAATTACGAGAAATCTTTCAGAACATTTTCTGTACTCGGGTCCCTGTTATTGATTCTTCGTGTCATATTTACACACTACATACACGCACATATCTGCACAGTCCACATGCTTAAGATTGTCATAGCAATCAAACCTCCACGGCACATACCACATACTCTATATTCCTTCTTGCAGCATGTGTCATACAAGTGAGGTGCCTAGTAAAAATTTTCAAAGGCAATTATTCACTTAAAATAAATTCTAAAAGCTTTAATGGTCAATATTTCCAACCGGAAATTACTAAAAATGATCCAAAGCACTTATTAATAATATAAAGTGACTTTTTTTTACTTTCACGCGTAACATATCGCGGTGTTTTGGCCTGCTGGCTTACTTAGGAAATATCCTAAACAAACATTTTATTATGTCCAACGTATTCGATTTTCCCTGCATGAGTTCGCTGAAACAAAAACTGTATATAACTTTAACAACATTCATATCCGGGAATGCTTTCTTATTCTGTAAACAAAATAAATCTGTAGCCTATATATTGTCACATCCCAAATTTCCAATCGAAACGCCCGCAGAAGGCGGTGCATCACCGCGTGTTAGAGAGCGGCTGACGGAAGACGACTTCACAGAACTAATTCTGAGACCCTTTCAGTTGTCCCCCCGTCCATGCTAGGTGGTGCACGACGGTTAACCCAAGTATTTTTTTTTATTCGCAGGGCTGTAAATATTTCAAATTGTACAAAAAAAACATGTATTTAACGAGAGGTTTTTGCGTGTGTGTGTGCAGTCATTGATGACTTGGGCTGATATCGTTAACACCCCACTGTTAAGAAACCAGATTATTCACATCTAGCTTTAACGCGCATTCAAACGCAGGATATCGTCAGTACTCATGGTGCATCGTTCTAGATCATTGGTTCTTGACCTTTACCTGCAGCCTTTGCACCCCTTTGGTTCTCAATCGTAAAAAAAAGATGTTCATAAATAGAGGTTTGATGAAACAAAATAGTTGTGCTTACGTGCCCTGTTCTTTAATTTGTGTTTCGATGATTTACCTTCTACAAAAATCTGGCTGTGTCTCGCACCCCCAGAAAGGGCATATCGCACCCCCAGGGGGTGCACCCCAGGTTAAGAAGAAGAACCACTGCTTTAAAGGCTATCATGAACCCTTCAGCCACCTACAACCACCTCTTTGGAGCCCATATTTCAAAGTTTGTTTCGAGCCTCGACTGTAACGAGTAGGCTTCTCGCAACACTTTCAACAGTGTTTGTTGTTGCGGTTTCTTTTTGTATCGCCACGAGCGGCGATTCAACCTTGAGAGACCGGGCGATGCCTGCTGCGTTGTACAATTGCAAACACGGAATTATTTAAGTCGTCCTTTCTGCCAAAACGGTGACGATACACACATTGTACAGTCCGCGTAAATAAATGAATTTGTGTTCGTTGTTATTACTATTGTGCCGGAACAATATATTGCTTCTGTTGATCCTTTAAAACCTGACAGTTACGTAACGTGAAAGCTATACATGTCACGGGCTGGTGCGCGCGCGTTAAGGTATTTATTATTCAGCGTTCGTGGCTGCATCGTGTAACGTTCCTCTCTGTCTCTGCGCATAATTTTAAATGCTACAGCGCTCGCGTGTTCCGTCCGCATTGAACAGCAGCACTCATCACAAGTCGACACCTTGGACACGTGAAAGAACCGCACGCATATCTGGGTGAGAGGGTTAATCTTCGTGTGTCGGTGTGTATACGAGGGGGTGTATGCGCATACGTGGGAGCGGTGGTACCGCGGTTAGCGTGCCGCACTGCGAACCTGGCAACCCGAGTTCGGTTCCCGCTCACGACCAACATCAGTGAAGATTAATTGAACCGGTCCTGGGCCTCCCCTAGATCGACTCGGCCTCAAATGAGTACCTGGTGCGGTGTGGAAACATCCCCACTCGGGAGACGAAGGCGGCCGGGCGTTGTGCTGGCCACCCACGTGTGACGTGCCGGCCTTCATAGGTGCTCGCCAACAAGCACTTGCCCCAACAGTCTGTTAACGCTGCACGGGGGATCTTTGTCTTTGTGTGCGGATGAGGCTCGCGAAGGGTGCTCCTGGAAAGTTGTCGGCAGCCGCCCTCCAGCAACAATGGGATTTGGAGGCGCGACACTCGGCAATGAGCAGAGTACCGGGCCGCTCAGCAACAAATTGGCACGGTGGTGAACGAAAGTGGCGCATTTGTCGGTCATCTGGGTCAGTTTAAACCTTCACCACCAGGAGCAGTCCCGTCACCTCATGCCAGCGAGCCTACCGCACTTCAAGAGGCCTCAAAGCGCACCTAAGATGACACGAGCACCTTCACTGCCACTGAATGGAGATGATAGGCCGTTGTTTTTGTGCGTTATGGTCCATGCTTCCTTAATAGATGCTTGCTAACATCACTTGGTCATCGAGTCTCCGCAGTCATGTTGCATCTTTGTATGTGCTGTGATTGTGTGTGTGTGCGTGTGTGCACGGATGCACCGGTTTGCTGTCTCCTCTCGACAACAGAGACGTCGAGAAATACAGTGAAATACAGAGAGACAAGGGACATGCAGACATGGAGACATGGAGACGACAGACACAAAGAGAGGCCGAGGCACAGAGAGAGGTGGAGACGAAGAAGGCACGCGTACAAACAACAGGGAACAGAGGTGCAGTGACAGCTTGACACAGAGACACGGGGGTGAGACAGAGGGAGACAATTTTCGGCGAGGGGCCGGAATCAAGCGGCTTAAGTGAGGGGTGGAGCCTCTCGCGCACAGACGGCAGCGCGCACATCTGAGGGCAGCTCGCTCGAGACGAGACAGCGACCGTGAGGACCGATCACCGGCTCAGGCCCTGCCAGCCCCTGGGCCTCGTGTTGTGATCCCGACTCCCGTCCACGGGGGACACGAGGCCCGGCGAGCCCCGGTGCGAATCGACCCTCGCCGCGCCCCCGCGCTCTCCGTCTGCGGCGGAGCTCAGAGACCTCCGTCTCGCTGCACCTCCAAATCCTAGACGGCCACCGCAGCCCCCAGCTCCTCCAGCTCCTCCAGCCGCCGCTCCGATCCCTACCCCCACTCCCGTTCTTTGCTCGGGGCCGAACTGGAAGATCCGCGGCGCTCGCGAGCTGCCGAAGGAGCGCGGCAGGGTGCCCGCGGACCGGCGCGCCGCCGCCGTCGAGGACGACGACGCCGGCGACGGCGTGGGGTGGCCCGTGACACGGTCGCGCCACTCCTCGGGCGGCCGCGGGAGGGTCTTGCGGCGGGCGGCCGCCAGCACGGCGCGGGCCACCATCGCCGGGGCGGAGGTCGTTTGGAAGGCGGCGTCCACGGAGCCGAGCGGGGAGCGCGCCGCTGCCTCCCACGGCGAGAGCCCCGTGGGGGGCAGGCCGGAGGTGCTGGAGGAGGAGAGGGCCCCGCGCGGGCCCGAGGGACGCGGGGACAGCGGTGACCACGGGTAGGGGTCCGAGTAGGCGGAGAAGGCGTCCTCGGCTTGGGGCTTCCATGTGAAGTCCTGCGGCGTGCGCGCGGTGGACAGGGCCGACAGACAGACCGACTGTTGGATGGAGGGACAATGAGGAACAACAGACAAGCGGGAAGGCAGCCGCCGCGCAGGGAGCCGGCACCAACAATTGCCAAAGCTCAATGGTCCTCTACATACAAAGCTGCTAACGGCCAATTAAATGAGTGGTAACATTTGGAAGATAACCAGGGCACCTGGAGAAAACCCGCACATGTGAGGGGGAAACACTCTATCCCATACAGACAGAACGGGTGGAGAACACATTATTGCTGTATTCTCCTGGTAAGCCAGGCCATGGAAATAGTTTCCCAACATTTGTGCGATCTGCCAACCCAAGAGAAACAGGCACAGAGACAAAAAAAAACATGGAAAAGACAGCAGACTCAAAGTGAGAGAGACTCATGGTCATGGACCGTAACACAGAAACAGAGAGACAAAGAGATCTGGAGAGATGGAGCCACTGAGATAGACACACAGGGCGGCACAGAGAAAGATGAAAATAGGCAAACGGGAAGATACAAATCAGAGGCAGACACTGAGAGCAGTGTCAGACAGGGATAGAGAGAGACACACACACACAGAGAGATATTGAGGGAGACAAGCTCAAATAATATTGTGGCCATGAGTGGAGTTTGGTACCAGGTGCCGTAGTAAATGTGAGTTTGACAAATTTCCTTCATGCTGCCCCTGCAAGCGAATTGCGCAGTAATTCGCCCATGATTCACTTTTATCGGTCATCTCAAAAACATTGCCACCATAAAACTTTTGTTTCCATTTTAGGTGAAACCTAAAAAGTGAAATGTCTGGTCCAGTACTTTTGATTGACTGCCCTGGGATATCAAAGTCGCGTAGCAATGCATTATTGAATCCATCCGTGTGGAGCTTTGAGCGTTTTTCTCACTCTACGCATGGGAGGTTTTTTTTTCCTCTTCTGGCTTCTCCGGTTTGCTCACAAATACTACAAAGTACATGAATGTATTTGGTGGAATATCGTAATTCCAGACTTTTCCTGGCTAAATAAATGACATTTTTGTGCTATTTTTTTAAGCAGGTAATAATGTTTGCTTCTTTTAGCAAGTGAGACCTGGATGACCTGGATGACCAGGTCTCACTTGGAACCAAAAAATCGGTGATAGGTTTCATTGAAAGAAAACATTTATTTGAGTTTTAAAGTGTAATGATCCAGTTATACGTGTTCAGCCCACGTAGTAGTTTTAGGCCTAATGTATTGCCCTTAAGCCTCCACCACCCGACAAGATTGTCAGGTGATATTATATATAATTTGTGCTATTTATACACGTGCCAATGTAATTGATCAGATGCTGACCAATAAAGCATCCCGCCATGTCCGTCCGGTGTCCCTCTGAGCTGCATTGGCTTCCGATTCCCGAACGATTACATCATAAGGTCACACTCATTTCACACAAAGTGCTCGCCACAAAGGAACCACAATCCTTTGCTGATCTCGTCAAGGAGCACAAACCATCACGCACACTCCGGTCATCCTCACAGCAGCGGCTTTTGGCTGCTTGCCATCGAACAAAGACGGTCACCGAATCGAGCGCTTTCAGATGCGCTTCTGCGGCCGTCTGGAACGCTCTTCCTTCCAATATTAGGAAACCACTGGAGCCATGCACTTTTAAATCATCTAGACTGAAAACTCGTTTCTATAAAACTGCTTTTTTGTGTTTCGTTTGTTGTCCTTCCCCCACGCCTACGATTAGCGCGGTTGGCTACGTACGGTGCGAAAGAAGTCCAACATACATATACAAAGCTCCTCGCTGAATTCAACATTTTTTAAGTTGGATTAAGAAATGTACATTTCACCCATGCAGCTCGAGACCAATATTTAATGTGGCAAGTTGACAGCAATAGTCACTGGATGTGGTAACATGTCCTGGAAAGCCAGTGCCAGATTAACCTAGTGTGGGGCCTGTAGCATGATGTTATAAAGGGGCCCTAATAAGAAAACACGTAAATATTAAAATACATTATTTTTACTTGCATAGTAAAGTAATTGTATTTTTCAATTTGCTGTACAGCCAAATAATACGACAAATCGCTAACCTTAAACACCCAGTCGTTCATAAAAATCGAAGGCGTTATAGTACTATAGTAATAGAGCGAGTGCAGAATCACTCAACCGGAATTGATAGCTTGAAAGCATTTAGCGCAGGGGTCTTTGAAAGTGCGGGGCCCGTAGCATTTGTAGATTCTTTTGCTACGAGGATAATCCGGCACTGGTGGTAACAGTAGCGAGGGACAACGTTGAGTCGAGGCAAAGAAAATTGATTTTGCTGAGCAACGATTGGTCTACACAGCACACAACCTCCGGAAGTCATGTGATCTTCGTCGACGATTATTATTGGAAGTTGCAATCTCATATGACCACCAGGGGGAGCAGCGATCACGTTTGACAGAATCGGGCTGTTTCCGGTGACAATCACCAGCAACATTCGCTCGGAATCTTCTACAGCTTATCGTGGCCTTTAGGTTTATTCCAGACATCGCTGAACGATGTAGCCATGTGAACTGAGCGTATCACCAGCAGCTGCTAGCCAACCGCGTGGCTCGCTCAGCAAGTCGTGATAAGGATGGGAAGGTTTTGAGTTCAAATCCAAGTCGGGAGTTGACTCAGCCCCTCAAGACATTGAGTCGTTACTAAAATGAGAACCACATCGTGGAAAATCAACAGCTGTGATCCTATGGATGTACTCGGTCACACCACGGGAATGTGGAACTTCCACCACTAAATCATGGTTATTAATGGAAATATAAGTGCCACCCAGGGCGCAATTGAGCACGGGGCCCACTTTGGCTTTTTATAAATACATTTGTAATGCGATAATGTTGAACTCTTTGTCAATCCACGGCTGAATGAAAGCCTTTCCACAATGTGTTAGTTATAGGGGCTTGTGACCATACTTCACCACGCTGGCGGGGTTGGAGAAGGGCGTGTTGAGTGGCCCCAGGACCACTTCAAATGTCACTCCCCACTGACCTTAGCTTTGGCCAGGAATCAAACTCAGGGTCGCTGGGTTCGTGGCGCAATGCACGAACCACTACGCCCCCACACCCAATGCCGGATTATTATCCTCGTAGCAACCCTATCACATGTAGCTACGGGGCCCGAACTTTCAAGGGCCCCGCGATAATTGCTTTCAAGCTATCAATTCCGGTTCAGTGATTCTGCACTTGCTCTATTACTATAGTAATATACTGCCTTCAACTTGTATGAACGACTGGGTGTTTAAGGTTAGCGATGTGTCGTGTTATCTGGCTGTATAGCAAATGAAAAAATACAATTTACTATGCACGTTAAAAATGTGTTTTTTTTTCTTCTAGATTTGAAGTTTTCGTGACTGCAAGGATCCATACTCTTTGTTTTTTTTGGTAAAGTCACGTAGGTAAAAAATAAAAAATAAAATAATAATAAAACAACTAAATTATATCACGACGTTTCGGAAGCTTGTGTTGCTTCGTCGTGATTTAATTTAGTTGTTTTATTTTTTATTTTATTTTGTTTTCACCTACGTGACTTTACCGGGGAAAATGTATTTATTTAGGGCCCCTTTATAACATATGCTGCAGGCCCTGCACTAGCGTAATCTGGCACTGCCCACACCCCAATACACAGGTCATGTCGCCTAAAATAAACCGTGATAGAGATAATCAAGCCAGTCGGGCTGCTTTGTCCTCTGCGTCAGACACATGGCTATGGCTGCTTGCCAATTTGGCGCGGGACGGTCCATTGATTAAGATTTATTCTTTAGATTATGACGCATGCTTCCAAAACGCTGCGCGTAAGATCCGACGATTGTAAATGATTGTGTCGTAATATGTTCACATGACCGCAGCAGCAGCAGCAGCAATATTCCATTCGCCGGCCCGAGGAGGGAGCGAATCAGCTCGGAGTCGTTACGTCACCCTGGGTCTATCTGCGTTTGGCCTCATTACAGGGACGCGTCGGATGCACAGACGGATACACGATACTGTGGGAAGGTGAATAAGGGAATGGGTGAGTTAGCCGCGCTGGGATCACTCGTACTAGGAGCTTGGGTGATCTCATTCTGACCTCGGTGGTTTCGGTACGCGAGGTCGCAATAATAATGTCAGTTCACGGGCGGTGCCACGTGGGTTTGTTCAGGAGCCCTGCGACACGAGGTGAGCTGCCTGCCAAGGCCAAATGCCACGGCTCGGTGAGATCGGAGCCGATCCTAGGCGCCCACCTCATCTACCTTCACGAAGACGGACGGACCAGTGTGGTGAAGTATGGTCAAACAACCCCCATGACCGACACGGCATTGAGAGGCATTCATCCTAGATTTGAAGCTTTCGTGACTGCAAGGATTCATACTCTTAGTTCTTTTGGTAAAGTCACGTAGGTAAAAAATGAAATTAAAATTAATAAAAATAAAACAATAGTAGTAATGTTATTGTTTTATTTTTATTAATTTAAATTTAAATTTTTACCTATGTGACTTTACCGAAATAACTAAGAGTAAGAGTAGGAATTCATCCATCAGTAGATTGACGAAGGTGATGCAATATATTTTAGTGGGATACATTTGTGGGCCTCATATTACTACCGTTTTCAAGGTGTCACTTTTTGACGGGAGGTATGTCAATTTAGTTGGTTTTCACCAGCTAACAGAGCAATGAAATGCTCCTAATTAAAATGCGCTTTGTTGATTTATTTAGCAAAGCCTCACCGAGTCTCCACACTCTTATAGGAGGGTACTGTGTGTTAGATTGTGGGCAACTTCCGTTGCTGAGTGGCTTCACATTGGAGGAAAGCTGAGTGCCCGGAAGAAAACTCATGCAACGGGGGAGAGTAACACCAAAATCTCTGCACAGATAGAGTCACAAAAACACTGCTCCACTGGAATCTCCTGATATACCCCATGTCCTAACCAGCCTCAGCTAGGCTTGCCACCTGTCCCGGAGTTCACGGGACACCCACTCCCTTGTTAAGGCAGCTGTCCGGAGAA